GTAAAATGGGCGTAGATACAACAAATTATTTTAAAAGTCTACTAAAGGTTTGTTACATGTCATAGCGTCCTTTCCACCTAAAGAGAGAAAAGCAGGCCCCTTTTCCAGCGGTTTTCCTCCATAGCAATCATATCACGCACATGAATTAAAAATAGTCAAATTTGAATGCTTACAACAAAATTGAAAAAAAAGAGAAAAAAGAAAAGATTTTGGCATGGAGTTTAGCTTATGCTTTATGAAGACATGCAGGAGTTCCTCTCAACATCAGAAGAACACAGCGGGTTTTTTACATTACGAGCCATATCTGATCCGAGATGTGTCCCTGCCTTGGACAATTTCAAATCATCCATTTATGTGAATAAAACACATTAAAATAAAATAATAATAATAATAAAAAAAAGATTACCCTGCATCTCAAAGTTAGGATTTGGCCCAAAATGAAAAACCTCTACCTTCTTATGTGTTGTGAAGAGCCTGACATTTAGCCAAGCAGAGTGGGTGGGAAGGGGGGGAGAATTAAGTAAAAACAGAAATAAACAAATACAACATGAAAATAATGGTGTGGATATTCTTCCAAGAGTCCACCTTCCACTTAAGAACAAACTCCTCCTGTCTGTTGTTGAAATACATCAATAGTGTCCTCATCCTCCATCTCCAGCTGTAAAAACAAAGGGGGAAAAAAATTACACATTAGTCCTGTAGTCGTTTATTCTACAGCTAATGTATAATATTGAGCCTCATGGACGTAGAACTGGGTATCAAACCCGAACACTTTTTGGTACCGACAGCAATGTGTGTTGCACTGGGCTGGTTTGATTCACAAGTTTGTAGTTCCCGATTCAAATCAACATATGTACAAATGTATTTAGGTTATTTCTAGATGGCTGTTTGTATTTTGACAATATTTCACCTTTTGCTTCTTTTGTTAAATAAAAATAAAGTTTTGTTAAGAAACTGTATTATTTTTGTTTCAGTACTTAAAATCTTGTATCCATTGATATGACATTTCCTACAAGCCACATACAGTATATTTTCACACTGATTAAACAAATATAATCTCTAGATACATGCAGCTTTAAAGAAATAGTCATTTTGCAGCTGGCCATTAGCTTAGCTTGGCATTAAGAGTAGAAACAGGGGGAAACGGTTACCCTGGGTCTGTCCAAATAAAGTCAACATACCAACACTTTTAAAGCCCTCTAACAATTTCTATCTTGTTTGTTTAATCCATAAACAAACAGAACTGTAAAAACAACTGCTGCGATACTGGGAGTTACTTGCTGAAAACATGCCACATGAAACACACGTCTGAGTGGAGAGAGACTTATTATCCTTATACCACAGCGAACTGATACAGTGGGTTGTAATTAATTATAGTTTATTATTGGGCATATCTGTTAGAATAATGCTTCCTATGAGCAACTAAAATCCTTTATGAGTTACAATCATTACTGCAATTGAGCCAAAAAATTAAGACGTTTTAATAGCATCAAACTGTCCTTCATTCAAGTCACAACTCAACAAATAACTGGCAAAGATATATTGTGCAATTCTTGCACAATTAACTGTTACTGCCGGAGGTTCAATCTATCTGTGGAAACTTTCCATCAATTATTTGATGATAACAAGGCGTGCAGTGAGGTCAGTGGTTCCACATAACCTACACTGTGAATAGAAACCTGTATGAAGACAACAGCACTAATCCCACAGTGCTGTGTTTCATCAGTATGCTTTCAGAAGCACAAACAAAACTACTAGCTTCCTTTCACTATACATTGTTCTCATTTTTGAAATTCCACAACCTGCAAAATAACTGCACTATAATAAAGGTACAATAATATGTTATTAAAGCAAATAACATTACGGCAAGTTATCAGGGCATGAAATCCAAGTATTTTGAACATGTTACATTGTGTAAGTGCAAGTCGACTCTCCACTGTGTGAATCCTGTGGGAGTCAATTTCACTATTCATCACGTGACTGGGAGAGGACAGGACAAATGACAACGGGAGTGGGTGGGAGAGGAATCATAACAATATAACAACAAAGTCAGTTTACAGTTACACCATTTTCTCAGCCGTTTTTTAGTAATAAATATTTGGGATTTTGAGTCCAGCTTTCACCAACCTGTGCAGGTGTGTCTGTTTCATTAATCGGCTGTCCATCAAACCTAAACCTTATCTGACGAATTGACAATCCCTGTAAGAGACAGAAACAGACAGAAATGGCATTTAAGTGACATTTTGCATCCAGTTATCAACTAAACAATATACAAGACAGATTACTGATGTGACAGCGTAATAATGAGACAAGGTTTGTGTTCCAGTCACTTCAGAACAAACATACCTGTCTTTCGCAGTACGCCTTCATTAGTTTGCTGAGCGGGGTATGCCTCTTGATTTTGAACTGTACAACTGACCCATCCTGACCAGCCACCTTGAGGTTAATGTGGTCGTTCTCCGTCTTCACTCCTTCCTGCAACAAAAACCGTCGTCATCATCATCATCAGCAACAACAACAACAACACCACCACCACACCGGTGCTCAAGATGCTCCCCTGTGATCAGATTAACTGGTGGCGATTAAAGCTGCACAATTCATGGAAATATTATGGAAATGGAAATATGCAAATCACAGAAGGCAAAATGTGTAACCAAATAGCCTTATTATGACGTAATGGAGACCTGAAGAGACATCCTGGCCTACAAATCTTGTTCTCCAGATACAGACCCCCCCCAAAACTGTAACATCATCATGATTATAACAGTTTTCTTCAGCGAATATTACATTTGTGGTGTAAAAACGATCATTCTCACACTAACTGTGACTCATATTGCAATACCTGTTTGAGCAACTTCAATATGATGTCTTTATTATATTTTGCAGCCCCAGCAATCACCTGAATGTGCCGGTGGCTGTTTGTACTTAAAATATATAGACAACCATATTCAATGTGAGGCTAATGGATCCTGCTATTGATAACACACACACACACACACACACACACACACACACACAGACAGACAGACAGACAGACAGACAGACACACAGTCAAGACAATAAGGAACCAGATGGGAATGTATTGGGAATCTCTATAAATTAAGAGAAAGGGCAATTCAGGAAATCGCTTCCTCTTCCTGTTTTCAACATCTGCAGTTACTTGAACGCAACATGCCTGCGACGCATTCAGGTGACCGTCCCCAGTTTACGTTAATCTGAACACCGGCGGCACGACGGGGTAAAGTAACAACAGCAGCAAACTTAAACTAGCCGGCTCATTTTAAGTTAGCCATCATACAACACAGGAGGAGGCAGGCTTCACACACACACACACACACACACACACACACACACACACACAATGCTAACGATAGCTAACTCCTTTCGGTTCTTCACTGGGTTAGCATAGCACAGCTAGCCCGAGCGCAAACTGGCGCAAAGCCACAATGGCGCAAATGAAAGAGGGAGATAAAAAAAAAAACAAATCATTCATTTCACTCGCAATTTCTGATAGCGACGTTGGCGAGACACAAGTTTAATTCAAACCAGTGAGTAGCAGGAGCTGGATGCTGATGTTGGCGGGACGCTACAATACAAGAAAACTGCGCCTAAAGCCAAAAAGAGCCGCAAAAAAAAAAAAAAAAAATCGGTCCACCTTTTGTTTTCTCCGTCGACCCGCTCAAACGCGATATCTCGTTATACAGCCGGGGAGCAGGGCTAGCTTAGCAGAATGTGCTAACTCTAAACTAGCATCACTAGCTGCTAACCGGTAAATAAACACAAACCACAGTACTGACCTTCGGCTTTTCTTCAGACATTGTGCTACCGACCCGGGGATTTATTAATAACGCGGAGACAACACTGGTAACGGGGGGAAGCGGGTTATCGGTTCCTCCGGCTCTCTCGTTTGGACCGGGAGCGCGCACTGATATTTAAAATGTAATTCGACCAAAACGGTCACGTGTTCCACTTTTCCACGGGGCCGCGGGTACGAGAGCGCGCAAGCTAATATGCGCATGCCCGTGAGATAGGTATATAAAAAAAAAAAAAGGGCCCCATTGTAAGGCAAACCCTTTTAGTCCGGGTCAGGGTCGCTCAAAGGGAACAACAATAAAGATACAAATAGTAAACAAATAGGAAAACAGAAAGACAACAAATCAACCAGAAATATGGTGTTAATATGTTTTTCAATCAATCAATCAATCAATCATCAGACTTTATTTGTGTAGCAAAATGTAAAGTGCTTCACACATTTTATGTCATCAGGTTGCAGTGAGGAAATATTGGAGGCAGAATTAGAAAAAGATGAAAACTAAGGATAATAAAAAATATATATACCAAATAAAATACCTTAACAAAGTAATAAAACAGATTAAGATGTATATCCAAAATAAACAGTAAAAAAAAGGAAAAGGATTGAAATGTGTAAATAGAAAAAGGGGATGAAATAAAAGTCAATTAATAATAATTAATTTTATCCAAGGTTTAAGAAAGAAACTTGACTCTCTAAAATATATATATATACATACATATATAAATATATATATATATAAATAAGTCAATAGTCAGTCAAGATAAACTTCTGATTTTCAAATTTAAAGCATTGCTCAAAAAGAGTCACATCAAAGGATTTTTAGGGTAAGGCTCATTTAATTTATAATTTTAAATTGTTTCAAATAGTTCCTCAGTAGATTATATGGACTTTGTTTTTAATATAAGTAGTAGTCTTTAGGAGGCACATATACTGAATATGAAAGAATATTAAATATATAGGAAGTGTAAATTGGGAATGTGTATTTTCTTAATAAGTGCCTGATTCAAAGTGTGAGCTCACTGATGTTGATTTCCAGGTGGCATTTAAGAATCAGTACTGAATAGTTTCTTCTTTTTTTTCTAAAATAGGGCCAGTTGTATTTTGTTTGACCCCTTTTGTTTCTGTATTTTCTGTTCATGAATTTGGAAATGCACCAGTATTTAGAATAAAAAAGTCACAAAAACAATCATGTTTTTCATTTAATCTTGAAAATGGTCACAATTTGTTTTTAACAACAGCTGCACAAGAATCAAATGCCTCACGTGTAGTTTCAAGAACACACATTTCCTTTATCCAAGAAAGTTTGAGATTCAGATATTTATCAACAGATAAAATAACACAAACCATGTAAAAGGTGTTACATGTTATTAACTTTTTATATAAAATAAATGTTGTTTCTTTGACATGATGGACGATCAGTAAAATCATGTGTATTACAAATACAGTATTAAAATGAAAAAGCTAATTATAAAAGAAGCACCACATGCACTGATCTGCTCTGGGGTTGTAGAAATCTTACAATACTGCATTTTATGCAAAAAAAACCCAACAATAATGTTTGCATATAACAAGTTAACTGAACAGATTTCCCTCTAATGATTTACTACTAAAAGAAGGCATTAGAAATATTAATCTAGCATAACAGCAGAGAGCAACGTGTATAAAAAATGAAACATTAGGTGAAGATGTTTGTTGTGCACATCCGGTCAAAAATGATTTCAGAGCATCTTGGCGACAACACCAACTCACCGAAATCAGAGCAGACAATCACAGTTTATCATGTGCTACATTTGGACAATGTATAAGGGTAAGGGATCAGTAAGGGATATTTTTTTTAAAGGAATCATGGCTTCAAGATTCTTCTTAACGATCGTCCATACGGGCGTATGGGTTATCCTTTGCCAGACCTGAAAAGAACAATGGAGAGACTGACATTTGAATTTGTGGATTTAATGCAAATAACCAAAATCCTCCTCTTCCAAAAATAACTCATAAATGTTGGAATTTAATTGTGTGTCCAGTATACTCCAGTAGATGGCGCTACTGAATCAAAGTTACGGTTTTTATGTTGCCTCCTTCCAAATTTCTTTCTTTATTTAATTTTATTTATCATCTTTCCCCTATCCTGTGTTTCTATTCAGCTGTTCTGTCACTGAGAATGTAAACAAAGTCTTTGATATTCCAGATTTACATTATTAACCCACCCGAATGTGTCTCACCATATTTCTGCCTGATTTCATCGTGTCTCAGCTGCATTTCTGTCCTCCTGTTGGGGAACAAACAAAGACAAATTGTCAGACAGAAAACAGAAACAGTGTTTGAATCATGGCTTAAAGATTTACACAAAGTACTTCTGTAATATTCTGATGGTATATGTAAAAAAAACCTTATTTCAGCTGTTAATGTAGTACATGGTGGTGGTGAGCAATGAGTAATGTTAAAATGTGCCTGCCACTTAAAAACAGTTTCTATCTGCACCACTTTTGAAAGAGAAACAAAGGTTTATTTGTCTCTTTTTGAAAATTATATATTTTATAAACTTATAATGAATGTGTTTATCTACATCCTGATGAGTACAGACAACAGTGACACACCCTGGTCTCTGCTGATGGTTTGTATTTTGTATCTGAACAGTTAAATTGGTTATTGACCTCTCTTTCTGACGGGCCTTCCTCATGCGGGTTTGTCGTTCCACCTTTGCATCCTCTCTCTTGTTCCTGGAATATAAGAATATGTAATTATATTAACATGCATCACAGTCAATGGCTTACACTGCAATATAAATGACGATAGTGAGAGTAAAAGCCTAATACAGTAGGAGTAATCAGTCCAATAATCTAAATACATCACTCTTCTTTTCAGCCCATTATTACATTAACTAGTCTTCAGAAAAGGCTTAAATAACCAATTCTTTTCCAGTGATTTGTTACAGCAGTTACAAATCCTGGCAGGCTTTTGGAGACGGCGGTATCAGCCCGGCCTTGCAGAAGAACAACCCATTGTGTTTCCCCACACCCACCCACCCCCCACCGTCCTCCTCCTTCCATGTTGAACCAGATTTCACAGCCAACATGTCATGTGACTTATGTTTACACTTACCCAGCTCGTTCACACTTGCAGCAGCAGAAGCAACACACAAGGATGGAAATGATGAGGACGCCAGCCAGCACTGACACGGTGATGATCAGAACCTGGAAGTTTACTGGAGATCAAAGGCCCACAGAGAGAGAGAGAGAGAGAGAGAGAGAGAGAGAGAGAGGAAACGTCAAACTCACTTAATGATAAGATGTGTATCATATTATAAATCCTATTATTAAATATACAAGGGCTTAAGTTAACTACTTTGTGGTTGGTGGACTATAGGAGTTGGTTATGGTTCTCCTTTGGAGTAATATAGTAAAGTAATCGATTAGTCAGAAGCATCTTATGCCTATTAGTAAACTACTACAACATGTAACCAGAGACTGTTTGGTATTTTTGCTTTAAAAATGACTCAAGCAATAAATTAAATATCAAAACAGTTTCTGTTTGATTTTTAACAAATATTTCCCAACATGTAGTCCCTCCCACACACACACACACACACACACACACACACACACACATATCCCAAATGTTAATACTACTTGCAGGTTATACCCTGATTACTGGTTATCTGAGGCCTAAGGGCCCAGTCTTACCCCAACATACCCCCCACCGTGCATCATTCAATGGACACACACTGTTGGGGGGCAGGATGTTCCCCACTGGGTAGTCCATGCATTGTTTGGTTGGTGTGCACCACAAACACTGCAACAAAGACAGCAACAAACACTGTGAGCTTTCATCTTATCTTTGGTATTTACAGTAATACATGGCTCACAAAGTTAAGGACAGTTATAGTGTTTGTGTTTGGTTGACTTACTGCCACATTCTGCAGACAGTCAGCACAGCTGGTGTTTGATTTCAGGGCACAAGGAGCTGAAACAAAGAAGAGTTAGAGTGTGTTATACTGTAAGTTCAAGCAGTTTAATACATTGGCTTACAGGAAAGGAAGTAAAACATTAAGAAATGTTACTAGAGGTTTAATTTTCTGCCCACAGTGGCAAATCATTAGCTGTGCTTGCAACAACAAAGTCCACAGTGATTCAGACTGACACACTTTAGTACAAGAAAAACAGGGTAAAGTTTTCTTTCTGTACAATAAAACAAATGTCCACAATAAGGCGGGTCATCACTATGATTTGATATGATTAGTTTTGTTCTTATGATTAGTGAATATCCATTTTGCCTGCTGTCATGTGACAGTCTCCTGACTTGACTCTGGCTGGATGAAACAAAGCACAACAGCTAAAAGCTTTCAAGAAAAAAAGAAAAAGAAAAAGAAACTTACCCGGAGCTGGAGAAGGAGTCTGCGCCTCCGTGGTCACAATAACACCGCAGAAAACCAACGCAAACACGAACACCGAGGCTCTATAAACGTCGGGCATTGTGAAACGAGTGGAAAACATCGACTGGATGGAAATGAGGAACAAAACTAACGTGTCTGAGGTCTGAGGAGACAAACTGAAGGGTGGACCTCCAGTTTACGAGGGCTGACGTCATGAACTCCTGACGCTGGCGTCACGAAACATCTGCAGAGAGAAACACGATAATGTTCAACATCTGTCTGATCCTTTATTATGTGTTTGTCTATATAAAAAAAAAAGTCTGTATATGCTGAGACTAAGGCTGCGTTCACACACACACACACACACACACACACACACACACACACACACAAAAGTGGACCAAATCTAAACTCATCTGTAGATTTTCATGACAGTGTGGAGAGCACAAATCACATGAAATCTGATCTTTTCAGTTCTTATTTTCATACGTGGTTGAAATCAGATACAGGTCTTGCAATGTGACCTTACTGTGAACTGTCATATCAGAATTCATGTGACTTTTTATGTCCCTCTGGATTTGCGTGCGTCAGGCAGGTGACTTCAGCACCGTGTTCACACTGACATCTGATTCATTAAAAAAAAAAAAAAAAAAAAGAACTGAGCAATAATTAACAATTGAGTGCTTGCAGTAGGAACGTAGCCTAATGGGTTTATTAATAGTGACCAGTTTTGGGTTGCCAAGCTGTGAGCAAACACTCTAGCTGTTTATCCTCCTTCAGCACCGCACATTGCTTTGACTGCTTCACTATTTCCTCTTAGGAAAAAGGCAGCACAGCATCTGCTCTAAAATAATTTTATAATTAATTTATTAACATCCACTGCAGACTTTTACATTCAGACTTACATTAAAGTCCTTTATTAATGGTTAAATACCGTTTCTCATTTCACTTTTGCTGACAGCTTATTAGAAATAGAGACATTTTTATCAATGACTTTGTTAATAGCAGAACTGATAACTGATTGGAAAGCTTATAAATGAATTGTTTCATATTATGTATAAAACATAGTACATACATAGTAAATTTTTTACATTATAAAGTTATTTGTTGCAACTTAAAACCAAAAAAAAAAGATAAAAGGTTCCTGTCCATTAAACAAGGAAAACAGAGATCGGAAGTATTTTCTTTCTTCTTACCTTTTTTCTTTAATATGCTCCACATAAATCTAAATTATTTTACTTTAATAAAGTAAAGTGGAAAGGCTCTGCTACTCTAACTTAATCAGAGCCTAGTATCATAACACCTGTATTTACCCTACTATTTCATGTCAAAATGGGTGCTGTGAAAAAGGTCTATTATGACATATTTTTACTTTATTTACTGGACATACCATTTTGTCCTCAGAGACATGACAGGATACAAGACTTAATAATAATAACAACAATAATAATAATAAACACAAAACAGCTTTTGAAATACAATAATTTATTAAAGCATCTTTAAATTCTGATATAAAACATTTTCTGATTTTTCTTCTTCAAAACAATCAGAAATCTCAGAAATACAGTCATCGTCAATGGCAAGATCAGTCTCTGGTGTGGCCGCCGGCAGCTGACCAGATCGCCTAAGTGAGTACGATTGGAGAGCAATGGAAGACAGTGATGCAATGTGAGGTAAATACTAAGCTCATTATGTTTGGATCATACTCTTATCATGAACTATACTGTAAGTTGACTGGCATAGGCTTGACTCTTTTTGTGTTCATTTACAGTGGAGGAGCGAACACATCTTCGGGTTAGCAAGATAATACAAGGAATTGAGCATGTTGGGGGTTGAGGGCAACACACCAAGGTTATTTTATGTTGACAAAAGCGCAGAACAGGGCACAAAAGGGATAAAATCAATAGTAAGCTATGAACAACTTATCTATTTCGGAATCTAAATTTCAGTGACCCTGAATGCACAAACGTGCCGGGGGTAACTGCATCAACACATTTCCAGCACACTGTTCATCTCACTCAGGCTGCTCATTCTTCCAATCCACTGATACTTCAATAAATAAATACCCCACCCTCACATGGCCTTTGACATCACTGAAAAAAACACAGTAAAACAATCTTTAGACACAGACGTGCTGTTTCTCAGAACACATTGTTGAACATCAGTTTCAGCTACAAAAAGTTTCAAAGACAAACCCTCAACTCAGTACACAATAAAACAGCTCAACACAAAGTACTTGTTCTGGGATAGAAGCGCAAATAGTTTGATTGATTTTTAGTAATAGGTGCCTTTTGAGAATACGTGACTGCAGTGGTTTTAGACATTGCATCTCCACTGATGCAGTGGTTATTCATATTGGATTTCCACCTTTAAATTTCCTTGTATTTGAATTTTAAAGAGGCAAATGCACCAGTGGAAGCCGTAGCTACCACTGACCAAAACGCTCAATCAAAATGTATATAGTGTTCCTGAAAGGCTGCATCTGCACTGAATCGTGCAGAATAGCTAAACAAAAAACTTAAATAAGGCAAGATGAGGAAGATAATCTCCCTGGGACAGGTATATTACGCATTAACCTGAGGGAATCTCCATTCAGGAGAACATTCATAAGAATGGGGCGCAATATTAGAACTAACAGTTGAATAAAGGTATTTTTGCCACTGCAACTCATACTTTAACTAATTTTAAAGAAAATGTACACTTTTGGAAATGAAAAAGTTCTAATTCAGATACTGAATGAATGTCTGTTTTGACCTATAAAAACCTAGTCTATGGTGGAACAAGAGAGTGCAAGCTCTGTCTGGGTTTCCTGGATATTTAAAGAAAGAATCCATGAAAAGATACCTGAAGTACATTTCAAGTAAGATGTGAGAAATGACCAGTGTATTTAATGAGAGCGAGTAACATGTTTGGAGACTGCATGGAGGGAAGCAACACTCGGGACAACTGTAAAGCTTAAAATGGTGCAGATGCTTGAATGTTCCCACTTTTTTGCCACAAGCAGTAAAGACATGTGTCTAGACAGGAATCTTTCTGGATGGAGTTCGTCTGTGTTGCTAGTCAAAATCTCTGAAACACAATGTCTATACAAGTGTTTTGATCCTGTTGCCATTTTTGCATCTTTTCTCCATGCTTGCACGTTATCTATCGGGTGAACTGTAGCTGAGTACATTGTGTCTCCTATCAAGTCAAATCATCTGATCCAGCTGGTTCCATAGCTGGACACAGACTTCACACTGCAGCGCTTCTTCACGATCATGTTTATGTAGGCTTTCATGATCTTTGTGATCTCTCCGACCTGGAGAAATGTACAAACACACAGTCAGCAGAGAAGAGAGAGAAGAGAGAAGCAAAGACATACAAATGTGTATACAATTTGTTTTCCATATGCAAATTTAGGTAAAAGATGCAGCAGTGTTAGAAAAAGAAAAAGAATCAATGTCTTTGTTGAATTTTTGAAAAACTAATGGACTTCTTTCAGATATGCTCTGATAAAGGATTCACGGCAAAATGCATCAGTTGTTTTGTCACTCCATTACTCAGGCTTTTGTTTATACCACCACCACCAGTGTCACCTTTTTTGTGAATGTTTTGTCCGTTTTTTGAGGCATATCAACCGTATTTTCCTCTTACCAACATACACAATTGAATTATTTACAGAAAAGATAACGTACCTGTGGTGTTTCAAAGAACATTTCTCTCTCATCCACAGTGATCTTGTAGGTGCAGGGCTGCGGAGCGCCAAAGAAAATGATGTGCTCATATGGGAAGGTCTCCAGAGGCTTTGGCTCTCCTCTCTTGTAGACAGACACATTTTCAGCGCTCACACTCAACCAGAGATCATGAGGGAAGCCTCCTTCTTTGCACTATAAAGACACAAACACAGGATCTCATAAACATCTGCTGGAACAGTATCGAAGCTGATACTGATCTTAAGCCGATCAGACCTGACTGATTTACATTACATACAGTGTCTTTGTGACATTATTTCTGTTTCTGTTTTCATTAAGTCAAGGTGATCCAGCAGCTCAGTTTTTAGCTCTGGTAAAGTTGGATTAGTGCATTTCTTCAGGCAACATTAAAGACCTGATAAACTTACCTCAACATCAAAAAGTGTAGATCCATATCCAGGCCACTCCTTGATGATGGTCATGTATTTGAGCATGGCCTGATGCTGGTCCAGACCCTTGAGGCGGGACCACTTCTCCACGATGCTCGCTCTTGTGGCAGACATCTCCTCTTTTATCCACATCTCCAACATCTGCTCCTCCTCCATGCGCTGCTTCTTCATTGAGCCCGTCTTCAACCCCCGACGCAGGGTCCCGTCCAAGAAGCTAGTCCTCCGACGCTCCAGAGTTTGGCCAGACCCCGAGGCTCCGCCCACCTTGGTAAACTGGAGGATGCGACTGCGCAGGCGGCCCACAGGGTAGACGTTTTCCAGGCTCCAGGTGACTCGTGCTTTATCTCCGTATAGAAACTGCAACCGCAACGCGGCCAGGTGCTGCAGGGTCTCTTCTCGTGAAGGGAAATGGCCCCGGGTCAAACTCTCGTGGGCCTGAAGTAACAGCAAATCATTAGTACCAATTGCAACATGTGGTTTAAAATACTCTCAGTAACACAAGCTGTAAAACACACCTGCTCAAACATGAATGCAAACTCCACTCCTTCTTTAGGCATGCTCTCCACATCCAGGAAGCAGTAGAGTTTAAAATAGAGTTTCCATTGGCCGTCTTCCTCACCATCCTCACTGCCAGCCAGTCTAGTGGGAAAGACACAAGCCTGTCAATTGCTTTCTTGTCATTATCAACAGGTGTAACTCAACAGGTGTTAAGTATCCTATGTAACAGAGCCCTGAATTTATAATAATATAATCAAACATAGTATGTAATACGCAGTAACCTGTGATCATGTATAACATACCTTTCAAATTTAGCCAAAACATCCGCCACAAGAACCCTGCTTTCCACAGCTCTGTCAATAGTGTTGTTGTGTTCAAAGAGTGCAAACATGTTCCTGCTGTCCTCCATAGCCAGACCTCTGATCAACTTCTCCACCACCTGGACAAAGCAAGCCAAGATAACAACAATCACAAAGCTATACATTATCTGTATAAGAGTTTGTGCATACACATACTCTTATGTAGCAATGACTACAGCTCACTCACCTCTCCAGCGGTGGTGTGCGAGTTAATGGAGATTTTGCAGGAGCCTCCTCCATGGCAGTAGACTGTGGTGGTCATTTCCTGTCTGGTAAGCAGTGCAATGATTTCCTCTTGAGAGGGAATAAACTCTCTGGCCTTGGTCTTCTTCAGAGACTCGCCGATGAAATGGGCGAACATTTCGATCTCTGTACCAGGGTACAGCTCCTTAATCCTGAAAAACACCCAAAAAAAAGAAGACAGTGAACTTTTGAAGTTTCAACCATTCATAGTCTGTGACCGTAGGATTGTTATGAATTAATGGTATGCATCCAAAAATACACTGCACCTTTTGAGGTGAAACTTGAGGTAGCGCAGGATGCCTCGGCTGGGCAGGAAGGTGCAGCTCATACAGGTCAGGAGATGCCAGTGGGCGCGATTGGCAGGACTGTTGGGGTGCGGGACGTGATTGGTTTGTTTGATCAGCTGACAGTAAACCTCATCTCTTAATGGCCTCAAGTCCTGACAGGTCTGTAGGATTCCCTGGATGATTGGTACGGGGTCCGACACTGCCTCCATCTCCTGTAGTGAGTTGAAAATCTTCACAGCCTCATCCTGCAGGCTGGTGTAACCCTTTTCCTTTTGCACTGGAAGAGATTGACAGAGAGGATTTTAATTCCAATTATTTTGACCTTATACCTGTTCTAAGTAGTAATCAAATTACATTCAAACACTTTCAAATGTTATGCTAAGCGTGTAAAAATTTGCTCGAAAATGTTTATGCCCTCCAACACCGACAGTAGTGCCAGTGTGTGGGAAGCCTTTTAGTTTGAAGTCGTAGTCCTCTTCTATGCACAAAATGCTGTAGATCAAACATTTTTATGAAAATAACAAGGCCTGTATTTTTGTCCTCTTGCCTGTGAGCGTTTATGTTGTACAATTTATATTAATTAACTATTTTATGAAAATAAACAAGAATTTAATAAACAGAAAATGCATGCAGTAAAATACATATTGCAAAAAAAAACAACCTAAAACAAACCCCCAATGCAAATAGTAGTCTAATTTAATCAGGGTCAACAGAGGTCAACAACAATAGCTTGCAATACTCACAGTGGATGCTGACATCTCCATAGGGCAGAGGTAGAAGAGGGGAGTGCAAAGGATGCTGGGTATATCTCAGGATGGGGTTCCTCCAGTATGTCTGCTCCACAGCCTCCACATTCAAACTGCTCTCCTGGACAAACAGAAAACTGGATCAGTGATCTTAAAGTGAAGTGGTTGTGAATTATGTTTCAGTAGAGCATTCTTGAATAGGTGGAAGTTTGTATTTAAGTGAGTTTAATAACATAAAAAACATCAGTGATAAATATTTTTACTTCAGTAAAGCTGAGAAACAGCTATGTGTGAGGAAAAGAGGTTTGAAGCGCACAAGGCCAAGACTTAAAGAAGGGCACAGCACACACTCAGTGAGTACAAGTACCTCACTTTACTACAGTGTGTGTCCCTGCCAAAGGTTTGCATGACTGAAAAGAATTGGAGTTAAAATAATATCAATTCCCATATGTTAATAGTGACATTTTTAGTTAGTGACATCGCACCCAGACTAGCAGTTATTAGCAACCTAGCAACAACAAAGGGAGAACAAGTGAATCCTTTAATACCTTTATGTCCCTGATGAGTTGTTGTGTGGGCGTTTCGATGGGAACTTTGCTGTCTATTGCTCCCTGTATGGCATTCGCCCACCGCATGGCCTCATTCAGCATTTTCGTGTAAAGTCGGTAAGAGTGTTTACGTCCATGGACAATTATATTCCAGTAACCTGGGTGAACAATGCAGAAAGTAATTAAAGACAAAATAACTCCCTTGTATAGCATACGCAGAAATATTTCTCCCTACAAAGTGCTCAACACTGAAAAATTAGCAGATAAGGAATTTGGAAAATTACCCATACAGGAATTCTTTAAACTTTATAAGACTAAATCTTAAACTCCTAAGAATATTTCGATAATTATGTTGACCCTGAACTGACCACTGTCCTTGAAGACCTTCTCATCCGGCTGCACCACAGAGCAGAGACTGTTGAGGACCAGAGTTCCCAGTTTGGAGGCGCTGCGCTCTGACGACTTGTAGTAGTCCAGAGAGTTGGTGGTGAGAACAAACCAACGCTTCTTCAGCTTCAGAGAAGTGCTTTTGGCTCCTGACTTCATCTCTTTATGTAGCCAGCCTGAGATAGGATAAATATAGATCATTTGGAGTATTCTTAGATAAAATGATGTTCCCCTTTTTAATATTTCTGTCTCTCAAACAAATTCAACACATTTTGTTGAAGTGCAGACTCAATCAGCCGTTTATGGAGCCAACCAGAGGTATCCTACCGCATACATAAGGACATGAATTAACTGCGTGTGTCTCAACTGACCTCTGACTAAGAACTCCTGTCCGTCAACCTTGGAGTCTCCTTTGGATTTCTGCAGCAGGCCGATCCAGTGGTGCATCTCCTCAGGTGTGTCAGTGTTGCAGTGGATCACCCGGTTAGCCGTGATGATAACAAAAGAGTTTGGTCTATGAAACAGAACAGACAACACACACATGTTGTTATACTGTGTATATGCCACATAGACTGTAGTTTAAACACAACGTTTCAGTTTATTGGCCGTCCCTTACCTGTCGGGGTTGTCTGATGCACAAACTGAATCAATCAAGCCCACATCTAGTGTGCCCTGGACAGAGAAAAGAGGGGTGAATTGAAATTATTAGCTGTTAAGTAATAGTGTGAAGAATGAAAAAACTTCCTAATTCCAATGTCACAAAGAGGCGACAAGCTGTTCTTTTGAAGCATACCCATTAAGAGGGTATTGAAGGGAAGTAAATGGTCGTTTATAGTAATAATAATAATAATAATGTTAGTTATACTGTATAAAACTAAGCTTCTTTCTATGTAATGTAAACTTATTCTAGCTCATTCAATTTCTAAATCTGCCGATGCTATTAACTACACTGCATTTAACATCCATAAAAATGAACAATACACCAATGTGTGCATTCTGCTTCTTCAGCTTAAATTACTATACGACCCAAATCTGGACCATGACACTTCAGCTGATTTAGTTACATGCTCCATCATTACTTGCTCAGAAATGGAGTTGAGGCTGGGGCCCAGGCAGTAGAGAGGTAAAACAGCACTAACCACTGCATTCTTTGGGTTGGCCTGTTCATGGTGCATCTCCATGAGCTGCTCCGGGCTGGCGCTGTGGACCCGACTCAGCACATTGAACCAACCACTGAATGGGGTCAGAGGGAGTTCAGAAAGTAAAAGTCAGCAAACATGTAATTGAAAATTACACCGTGAACTTCCCCTGGCAACCACAAGGGGGAACTTTATTTCCACACATCATTTTTACAGAGAGACGATGACAAAGTAAAACACTACCTACGAAACAGCCACAGTTGGTTGGTTATTTCTATAGAGTGTATGGATATAATCTACCTGGCATCTTCTGGAGACTCTGCATAGATGTGGTAAGTCCTCTCCTCAGTCACAATATTCAGTGCATTTTCCTTCTCATGATTGTCCACTATGTCCCTATAGAAAGACCCAGAGTTAGACCAAAACTTAGTGAACCATATATTGGTCTGTATTCTTTTGTATGATAATAATTAGACCCCCAAAGTAAGTTGACAAAAGGAAAGAAAACCATGATTTTTAATCCCAACGACTGAACACAATGTCTTACTTGGCTGTGCGGACATCAATGGTTCCTTTCAGTTTCTCCTCGCTGTCGTTCTCAAAGTACATGAGCTTCGACTCCCGCAGAACGAACCAGCGCATTTTCCAGTTGCGCCGAGACAAGGTGGACATTCCTCCTCCTTTCTTGTAAAGCCAGCCGGATTTGAGGGATTCCTGCTTGGCCCGAAACCACATGAAGGTCTCATCCTTCAGGACACACCAGCGACGACGCCATGGGATCATAAGACCACCTGAAAGAGGGAGAGGCACAGAGAGCAGAGGGAGACAGAAAGAATGTTTATTTATATTGTTTCAACATTGTTTGCAAAATATAAGTATAAAAACACCTCCTATCAACACCCACATATAGACATTCCCATACACGTGCATCCTCTGGAAACAGAACCTACAATGCATGAAAAACACTTAACTACATTTTATAAAAATATACAGTAAAAGTAGACAATATGTACTAAAACATAAGTAAACAAAGCAAAAAAGCAAGAAACAAAGAAAGTCTGTTACAAGCTGTGTTCAGCTGTGCATAAATCATCTGCATGCCTGCTGGGCAGTGATTTGGTGAAGCTACTCACTCTTCATGTAGAGGTAGCCGTGGAAGTATGGAGGTCCACTGCCATTCAGCACATTCACTCTCCCATTGGAAACTTCCTCATCTGTGTCCACATAGCCATCGTTTTCCTCATCGCTGTCGATGAACTGAAACACAACCAGCATTTATGATTTTAAAAGCACGTATTTTAATATTGAAACCTGCACATCTGTAATGTCATTTCAAGAAAGAAAAGATTGTTTGTTTTTTTTAAGTCAGATTTTGGAATGTCAGCACTTAAATCAGCGGCCAAAATCTGTCTGACCTTGTTAATATGTTGTCAATCAACCTCACCATAAAACTGGTACATACACACCCTTGCACAGACGTACACACACACACACACACACACACACACACACACACACCCCTTTTTTCCCACTGACATTTTGCTGATCTGACAGTGTCAGGTCTGAACTCTCTGCTTGACTTGCAGTATCTGGGAACAGATTCACATGCTCATCAGCAGAGCCAAAACAAATAATTGCAACAGTGTTTCACTGTGATCCTAACATGAGCTGATATGTTATGCGCTGATATGTTAACAGCGGATTCAGGCTCGCACCTGTGCACACTGACTTTTGTATGTGGTTTAGGTGTTGAGTCAATATGTGGGAAGAATAATACACCCAGAGGAAATCTGGGTGTACCATTCTGGTATGTCAGTGTGTATGTGAACAATGGCTTAAGTTATATCTGAGATTGAAAAGGAAAATGCTGCAGTTCTATTGAGGGCAAAACTTATTTTAAAAAGCCAGTTCAACTGCTATTCAAGTCCCATTTTTTTACATAAACATCCAATTTCTTTCCAAAGTATGATAGGGCTCCAAATGATTACCCATCTGGATTAGATCTATAGCATTTGACAGAATTCTTGGTCTGTTAGTTCTCACCGAGTCCGAGCTGCCTCTGAAGGAGTCCAGGCTGTTTTGGGTGCAGGAGGATTTTCGCAACACCTCCTCATCTGTGATATGGCCGTCATTGGTGCTAGCACCTGAGCTCCCATGAGCCTCCTCAAACTCCTCCTGGTCGTAGTCCGACTCTGTGTCTGGCATGTTTTGGTGGGGCGGCTCCTCGCTCACAGGCTCAAAGTCTGACCCCCTGATGCCCCTGTGGCACGACAGCCTTTCTCCATTAGTGACTGCAGCAGGAGGAGGAGGAGGAGGTCTAGAGGTTTGGGAGTCTTTGAGAGGAGGGGCATGACTCAGTCTGTTCGGGGTAAGTGGGGAGGGTTTTGCTGGTGCGGGAGAGGAGGCTGAGGAAGGGGTGTCCACTAATCCTCCCGCAAAGGCAGGTGGAGGAGGGGGAATACTTTGGAATACTTCCTTATCCAGAGGAACCACAGCCGGAGGGGGGAAGTCAGGCAAGGGAATGCACTCATCATCAGCGTGAAACCCCTCGTCCACTTCCTCCTCGGCCAGAGGGGCAGTGGATTCGGTTGGGTCATGGAGGTTCTCCTCACTTGAGAGGGAAGGCTCTAAACCACCAAAGTCCAGGAGCTCCAGAAACTCAGTAGCCACACGGGAGGCTTCCTTCTCCAGTCTGTAGATCTCAGCGTCTCTCATCTGGCGTAGCTCCTCGTGGGAGACATCCCCGAGAAGGGACACGCCGTCTTCCTGCTGCTTTTGCAGACGCTCGATCTCCCTCTCCAGCCGCAGGATCTCCTCCATCTGACGGCTCTCCTCCTCAGAGGTGTGACTGTAGGACAGAGTTTGAGCCAGCTCCTTCTGTAGACGGGACAAGAGAAGAGGAAGATATACAGAGAGAATACTTTATGCCACTGCATTCACACCTTATAACTTGTTTTGTCATGTGAATGGGGTTTTTTTTGACACTGTGGTTAATGTTTTTATGGTTTACTGAAAAGGATTTACCTTCTGACAAACACCATTTACCAGCGAGTTCCTAAAAATAAGAAAAAGAAACATTTGGGATGTCAAATGAGCATTTAAAGAATGATATTAATGATATTAATAAATGCACCTTCAACATATCACAAAAAGTGAATTAGTCTACCTTTTCTCATCTGCTTTAGCTGCCATTTCCTGTTCTTCCTCTTTCTCCTTCATCAGCCTCTGCTCCTCCTCTTCCTCCCTCCTCTTCTTCTCCTCATCCATCAGCCGCTGTCTCTCCACCTCCTCCCTCTTTCTTTTCTCTTCGTCCTCCCGTTGTCTCCTCTCCTCCTCCATCCTCCTCCTCCTCTCCTCCTCTACTCGCCTTCTCTCCTCTTCCTCTTCTTTCCTCCTCCTCTCCTCCTCCTCCTGCCGCTTCTGTTCCTCGTCCTTGAGCTGGCGAAAGTGGGATCGGCCCAGCTGGCCTCTGTGATGTTTCTGCAGGATGATGGTGGCAAAGCGCAGCCGCAGGAAGGCGCGTCTCCAAAAGTGAGCGCGGTAGTTCTTCTGGATGGTGACGACGCTGGACAAAACCCTCTTATATTGTTTCCTGATGGGAAAATCAAAACACATACACACGTTCGTAGTCAGCATCCAGAGCCACAGTCATGAATCTAATTCAACATTATCTGAAAACATTGTGTGACACCACAAACATATTGGTGACGTTGCACAGCCTGCTGGCATTCTCTGTTTAAATAAACACACTGGTAAAAAAGCCTGTACATTGTGAACTGTGCAATGTTTACAGTCTGATGAGCTTGTGCTGTTCCATTGTGGCCGTGTGGGCTGCTCTGTTTAGCCCTGTGACTAAGCCCCATCACCCACACACTGCACATGCATTGAATACACACACATATAAACATGCACGCACACAAACACACGTGACTTGCAAAGGACCACACACACTGCTATGACTCTCTGACCCTTATCCTGGCCTAGTCTCCAAAGTAATCACTCCATGGCCTCTGACTGGTTCTCAGGACAGAGATAATGTTACATATAATAACACAAAGGCTTTACTTGTGTCTTTAGGGAACTTCTTTAGCCTCTGACCTTAGCAGAAACAGCTCTGAAGGAAAGGGAACTCATTACTGGATGCTGTCATCAGTCCCATTATACTCTCCCGACAGAGCCTTTCAGAGCACTGCATGTGACCTTACATACTGCAGCACACAGGTGGAGCATGGCAAGATTACAGTACATGCCTTGGGGTGTCTGCTTGTTCAGGTTTATAAACCACCATAGTGATGGATGTCCTGTATGACAGGCAGAGTGGAGAGGCAGAAAATTTGCTGCTCAGGCTTAAAAGACTGAGATTTATTCATTGGATAAAAACATCAACTGTATTGCTGATAGTGTAGCAATAAATTAAAGCCTCACAGAAAACTATGTTGGTCCAACTAAGGGGCGTGGCCTGTACATCACTCCAGATTACACTGTCTTTTCAAGATATACTAGACTAGCATTGTGACATTGTAACCTTCAGAGCAGATACCCCATAACTTGTGGTTTCTCCCTTTTTTCTTCTTAAATTGCTTTAAGGTTGTCAAGATCATCTCATTACTCACTGTCTGAAACTAAAGGGAATTTATACTAATAAAATATTAGTTCAAAAGACTGTTTTTCATGACTGCACCATTATATCATATGAAAATATTATAGATGTCTTGTGCATAATTTTTTAAACATTCATCCAGCTGTGAAAGAACCAAACAAACAAACCTTCAGTCCCCAGACCCCCATAAAGTAAAATGTAACAATTAAATTATATTTTAAGGCTCTGAGGAATGAAACATCATTAACAAAGTGAGTGATCCACAATGCAGGATTTTATTTTTGCAATCAGAGTTATTTGATACAAATGTGTACAAGACTTTCTAGAGTGCAAGAACTTTGCAGTGAGTCTGACACAGGACATATTTAGTATCATTGGAAACTCCACTGAACATAAACTTTTTTAAGTTCGGTGGATTTGAACACTTTGTAATAACTGACTGACACTTTGATAAGGGTTCATGGATACAGCATATTTCAGATGAAATAACTGTATACCTTTAGTGCACTAAAGAATCTGTAATGGAGCATGCACTGATACTGTATATAAACCCACATAAACACACACAGACAAAAAGGTAAACACAAGTGCAAAGGCATGCGCATATGCACATAATCCCCCCACCCCTCCCCAAAACACACACAGGCTGTACACCTCTATTACAAAACAAACACTGACAACTGTCGCTGCCACTCAGCCCTCCCCCTCCTCCAAACTCTACCGCTCACCTTGCCACATAGCTGAGGATGTGGGCGCGGATCACCATGCCAGCCCTGCGCCGCACCTCTTCCCTCTCCTTCTCCAGCCTTTGCTCCAGGGCCTCCTTTAAGAACACCTGCGGGACGAGCAGCGCCACGGCCGTCAGGGAGTGACAGAGACAGAGAGACACAGGGAGGGAGAGGGAGGTTAGGGAAAGAAAATGGGATGAGTTAGTTCCTCTTCTTGGTAAGGATGCAAAAGAGGGCCCACAGAGATGTGAAGGGCCCCTGTTGTCTGTTGGCAGCACCCTGTGCCCACTGCAGAGGAAGCTGTGGTGCAAGCTGAGGCTAGCAAGCTAGCCACTCTCCCTGACTGCAGAGTAGAGCAGAGGGGAAAACTGGCACCGAGACTGCAGTGTTGCTGCTAACGCCGCTGCTGCAGAGCCTCATTGTGTTCAGGCGTCCTTCCTGAGCATTTCCCTACTACTGCTGCTGCTGCTGCTGCTGCTACTGCTGCGTTGGTAGCTCGACTGACGTGCACAGGCAGAGAGACACAGAGAGGGAGGGGAGAGGTAGGGATGGAGGGATGAGGGGGAGGGATGGTGGCTGGTGTCCAGATAGAAAGCCACACCCTCCGTGCTCTTATGAAGGAAGGATAAAGAGTTCAGTTAACCCTTCCCTCGCTCCAAGAGACTTTTTTCAAAGTTGTCTCTGTGGGGCTAAACTAAAACGCTTACGAGAAAGTAGGAGTGACATTACATTATAAAATATAATCAGATTTTGACTGTCTATCCATGTGAGCAGGCTGGGAGAACCAGCCAGCTGTGTATCTGGGTTTATGCGATAATGCGATATCTGTTGCTAGCCTGGAGGATCAACTGCTTCTACAAGAGGGGGGAGACCTTTGAGTGACTGTGTGTATGTGTGTGTGTTTGTGTCCCAGATGTTCCACTAATCAAAGGATCCCACAGCTGCAGCCCTGCCCGCCTCTGTAAAGTCTGTGAGAGGAGGAAGCTTCCACTTCGTCCACATCCTTCCCTCTTCTGTAAAACAAATGGCTTGCGAACACACGCACACACATAGACACAATCTGCGCAACGTCACCCAAGCCCCTAATTCTGGGCACACACTTCCTTTGCACACAATCAGCACATATATAATTACACACAGATTGTTTCTCCAAAGGAAATGTAGCCCCCTTCTGTCTCTCAGCCCCCTTCCCACAACCCACACTACATTTCCCTGAGCCCAAAAATATTACGCTGCTGTCGAAAACACAAGCATGTGGACGGACTGACACAGACTCTGCCCAACTCTGTGCATTTTTTGGGGTCTTAATTTGAAACAGTAGCCTCTTTCTCCTACTCTTTCCATGTATATACAGTGTAAAGTGGAGCAGTCATCGGCAGAGTCAGCCAAAGGTCAAAGTGCTGACCCCTGGACGAATAATGAAGTTTTACCCACACAGAGGAACATTTTTTTCTTTCTCGGAAATCAGTCATCCACAGTGACTAAAGACATGTACATAAGACATATACTGTGTGCATGTGTGAGAATTTCAATATACATAGGCATGTGCACATTTGTGGTTATGCACAGGATATATATTCATTAAGAACCAACATGTGGTTCACATCAAACATTTTTTGGTCTAAATGTATATTTCAGCATCTGTGCAGCTGACACTATTCATAGTGTGCCAGCCAAATGGGGTATTACAACAAAACTGTCCAAAAAGGAACCAACAAATTTGAAATGTCTCAGTGATTTAACTGCCACGGAGGAACCACAACTTAGAGCAGGAAGTAACAGTGGGACAAATGTGGATTTAGCTGATTTCAAGAGAGCCCATAAAGCTATTTTATTTATATCCTCTTTCTGCTGCGTGGAGGCGGTCTATGCTGAGTTCAACATGAAGTAAAGAGGTTTTGCTGTCCGGATCAAACAACTCATTTAAGGTTAATCATTCAATGCAGAGCAGAGAAGAAAAGAGACGGCTTTATGCAGGGGTAGTCGTTTTAAATAAAGAGGGTGAGAGAGTCAAAAAGAGAGAATGAGGGACTGAGAGAGAATAGATAAGTGAAAGATAAGCATCACTAAGAGCTATATTGCAACAGATGACACTACTAACTTTTTTTAGAGGATAAATGCAAGAGATATGACTTTCCTCTAACCTCAGCAACACTTCATCACCGCCTCCAAATCACTCGCTGGAAGTTTAGTTTATTGAATCAGCTCTGTGAGTGTCAAGAGGCTAAAACTTTTCCAGCTACAATAAGGCTGCCTCAGGATTACTATAAGCCCCCGCACTGGCTTATAGTTACAGTAACAGTTGTTGGTGTCAGGGATTTTAGGAGTAGCCATGTAACTCTGTGGTTGTCAACAGGAGAGCAGTAGATTGACCACAACCGGCCAGAAAAATCTTTGGGACATGAGTCACATTTGGAGCCGTCCAAACTGTGGCACATTAACAGTTTGGGAATGACGGCAAGTTGACTCCTCGTGAAAAGAATCAGTCCCAGAAGACGTCAGATTGAACCAATATGCTATCAGTTCCTGCAGACTCATCTTTATGGAATTGTAAATCTGTATCCAGTATATGTTGCAAAATATGCTTAAAAACTGTGATTTTTGACTTTGATTTTGAAGAGAATGTAAGGGATTAATTGGTGCACTGCCAATGAATCAATTAGGTGCACGAGTCCATCTTACAAGAAATCACACAAAACTGGCATTTCACCTGATCCTTCAGCCTGTCTAGCTGTGTTCTCGACTGCTTTGAGCCTGCAACTCTATCCTGTGTGTGTGTGTGTGTGTGTGTGTGTGTGTATTTGTATTAATGACATTGTGGGAATAAATATATGTTCACACCGTCGCATTATGGGGACTCAACTGCCATTTTAGAGAAAGAAAGCTGGTCCCCACAAAGTAAAACTTGGAATTTCAGGGTTAAGACTTTGTGGATTATGTCAGGGATGAGGTTAAATGTAAAGTTAATGGTTTGGGCTAGCTGGGGTTAGTGGTTGTGTTTACTGTGAGTATCCAGGGCATAAAAGTAAGTCAAAGAAATGTCCTCATAAATGACAAAAACAAGTTTGGGCGTGTGTGTATGTGTGAATGTGCTCCACCTTTGTCTTCCCCAGTTGCCACTCCAGCTTGGCTTTGTCATGAAGTGTGAGAAGCTCTGAGCAGCTCTGCTTCTCATCGTCTGAGTGGATTTTGCTCTTCAGGATCATGTTGTACCTGTGAAAACACAAACACACAAATACATTTAGATAAACAACAGCAGAAGACACAATTTCAGATTTGGGATTTCAGCATTTGAGAGGTATAGTTTTTTTTTGTTTTTTTGGTTGTCCAACATAATTCAGCTTTGATGTGTATTTTGTATTTTGCTGACCTGCTGTAGAAGTCCGTAAATGTTCTACGGACAGGGAATCCAGCTCTGCGGATCTTCACAGTTTCCAGCATCCCAGAGTATCTCAACTGGTTCAGGACCACATCAGCATCAAACCGGTTGGCCTTCTGTAGATGACAAACAACAAAACAACATGAAAAAACAACAAAACGTCTGTTCATTCCTTTTCAAAGGACATAAACCCTAACAGCTCTATGTTTACTTGATTATATCATTTTACAACAACAACTATGCATTGGAAGTTGTTTTGTTGAGTATCTGTTAGTAGAAGATATGGGACGGATAAACATGGCAGGCAAATACAATCCTCCACCGCTGAGCACACACACCTATTCAAATGATCTTACTGCTGAGTCAAGTTAAACTTGAACTAAAAAGTAAATTACCATGGTGAGTGCTATCATTTTACATTAACAATCGGGTTACTGCGAAGAAAACACACGCCATCAGAGAGAAACCTGCACAGTGTTGAGCAAGACCTTGCCAACCGGGCAGACCTTTCTTTTAGGAATAATCAGCTGCATTGTTCACAGCTCTGTGATACCAATGATCCTCAGGCCTGCTTATCAGAAAGGATCTGTGATGTCTGCTGCCCTACACCTCTGCACAGGCTGCCTGATCGCTCAGAGGGACCACACAAAGGCCACTGTCACCCAGAGGACACACTGCGCTGGATAAGCCCCGCACAGGACCGCAGCATTCCCCAAATGTGTCAGTCTAATTAAAGGCTAAAGCTACTCTGCATGGAAAAAGACACACTTGGTTACAAAGGCACTTGCACGCTTGCATGTGTTCATGTTCATAATTAACACACACACACATAAACATGCACCCCTTGGAGCTATGAACTCTGCTCTTTAGGAGAGGATTTAAGCAGCTGAAAGAGGTACGGCATGTTGAGTTGTTTGAGTGAAAACAAGCTGACCCTTCCCTCTGTGACATTTTTTCCAGGGGAGACTGTGTGCAATGTAAATCGCACAAATACATTATATGTGTGTGTGTGTGTGTGTGTGTGTGTGTGTGTGTGTGTGTGTGTGTGTGTGTGTGTGTGTGTGTGTGTTTGCATGCATGCCATCCTGTCAGAGGATTGTGCATGCAATCCTGTCATTCTGCAGGATTTAGAGAGGCACGGCTTGTTCCATCTTGACCAACCGGGGCCAGGTGAGCGAATACGAGGCTGAACCAATGAGCGGGTGAGAAAGAAAGGAAAAAAAGGACGCAGGGAGACAGAAAGAGGAGAGTGAGAGGAAGACAGCGCAGTTTCCATGCTAATAAGTAAGCGAGAAGGTGTGGAATGACGCGTAGGCAGTGGGAGGCAAGGAGCTGAGAGAAGTAGACAATCGCCACACTGTGTACATTAATAAGTAACAGAGAGAATGTCACTAGATTACAGAGCAGCCAATTCACTCTCTCATGCAGAGAATAAGGACACATAATATAACCAATACTCTAGCTATCCAATATCCAATAAAAAATTAGACAGTGAAGATTTTTAAGGAGTTTTGAGTTATGTAGTACCGAGTGGTGGAGGAATAGAGGCCTAGTAAATAAATGACCTGCCGGCTGCACCTCAGCCCCAGCACTGTGGTCTTATCTTGGCATTCCACTAATGCAGCCAGATCAGCAGAGCATCAGCCAAGCCGCTGCTGCTGGAGTGGCCAGCAGTGACCTCTGATCTTTGGTAAAGAGGGTAAAGTGGTAGGAATGTACTAGCACAGAGCCCTTTTATTTGAGTAGAGGAGAGGTATCAGTTTATTAGTAAGCAGAATTTGCAGCAGAAACAAAAAGAATAGTTACTTTTTAAATGGAACATTTATTTGACTTTGCAGTAATGAGACTAAATATTAGCTCTGAGCTATGGGAACTATGAATAGCACCAAGGAGGTTTAACTTTGCTAGCGCTGACCTTGACAAGACCTGGCAGGGTTTCTGACATTTCTTTTTTCCGTGGAAGGAAATTTGCATGACCTACCTTGTCCATGTTTGGTTTGATGCAGCGTACAAAAAAGGGGTTGGAGGCACTTAGTGTTGCCATCAGGGAATGAAGAGAGTCCTGAAACACATCAAGAGGATTAAGATCAAGACAGCAGAGAAGATGGGAACTACTTATTTATGCATGTACTTCTCATCTTGTGGAGAATAATAAAAAGTACACTACTGTTCATATTTGTGTGTGGTTGTGTGTGTGTGTGTGTGTGTGTGTGTGTGTGTGTGTGTGTGTGTGTACAGGGCACTGGTTGAGGAAATATTCAGATAATTTACTGAAGTAAAAGTATCAAGACATACAGATTGAATGTAATTTGTTACTCTCCATCTCTTACAGGGTATTACTCTGTCCATATTTACACACACACACACACACACACACACACACACACACACACACACACACACACACACACACACAAAACACACACTCCAAGGACCCTTGAACCTCGCAGGCTATGTCAGCCTCGCTCTCCTCCTGCCTCAGACAGTCTGTCTCCAGCGAGGCCTGGCCTGGCAGAGCTGAGCGTGATTGGCCCCTGGTTGGCCCCTCTCTGCCCAGCCATCAACCCTAATCCCCCTGGCTTTAGGAACTGTAGGCCAGGGCAGCCTGCCAAATCCTCCCCTGCTCCTTCTCTCTGCACTGCAGTTAGGACATGCTAAGCTAAGCCCTCCACTGCAGCCCCCCTCCACCGCCACAACCACATATTTCATACATCCCATCACCCATCATCAAATACACTGACTGCATTCTCCTTTCCCCTTCTGTCTCTTCATGATTTCTATCCTTTTTTTTTCTTCCCCCGCGCCAAGAAAAGGAGCCAAATGTTGAGGGTTAAGTGATCATTGTGTGCATGCAGCACATAAGAGACAATTAACTTGTTGTCTGTGTGATGAAACAATCATACAATCATAGACATGGATTTGATAGATATCATAGACGCTTGAGTCTCACCCTGAACTGAGAGCTGACGGTGGGCTTGCGTCGAGCTGTGCCCATCTTTAGGGTCTCATCTCCATTCCTGCTACCGACGCGCTCAAAGAGGTCGTAGATGAAGTCGAGCCTGCAGACACACACAAAGGGAAACATGATTGTAAAAAATTTGCATATGAGCATAATCATTCAGGTAGAGTGTGATATATTCTCACCTGCTGTCTTTGAGAATAAACAAGATGTCATCTCTGAAGGTGTCTCTGTTCTTCTCGAGGATCCCACGCACATCATAAAGCACCTAAAACAGAGGTGAGCAGAGTGTGTTTACATTTAAGATAAGATAAAATAAGACTTTACTGATGTTACAGATGTACAAGAAAGAACAAAAAAAACAAATACAACAAAACAAGAAGTTAAGGAAATATATATATATAAAAAATATATTTAGACCATATACATGATTTGCGCATTGTGCAAACATGTATGAGCAGAAGTAATGAATTTGCTTCAGAGTGATTTGCAATGTTATCCAAATACAATCTTATCAAATAATCTTATAAATATACTGTTAATCAACGTAACATGTCTAGTCATAAAAGTAAATTGGCTAATATCTTTAGAGCTGGCAGTAACACCTATGTACTGGTGGGTTTTTGAATGCTGGGATTCACGATGCACAACCACAGACATATCTGCTCTTGTAATGTAAAGGAAGACATACAAAATATTTTTCCAAACAAAAGGTAAAGAAAGACAATGAACTTGCACATTTTGCAAATGTGTGCACATGAGCAGCAAATTGGGTAGCATTGTTAGCACAGTATTTGCTAAATTGCTCTCAGAAGTGATAATATAAGCTAAGATAAAATGTACCTTTATTGATCCCCCGTAGGAGAAATTCAAATGAGGTGGAGGTGATAGAAAACAAAAAGGTGTCATTACAGACCCATAATTTGAGAGTTTAGAGATTAAATGTCAATCTAGCATGGGACAAAAGCTGATTCTTTCATATTTATATACACTTTTTGAACTTCTGAAGGTTGCTTATCCAGACTGGGGGATTAATGGTTTCAGATGAGAACATTCACACATTTGTGAACAAAGTGTGACATGAGCGGGGACTGTGAATGCGTGTTTAAGTGCTTGTGTGAACAAAGACGAGGAGGTGGGGGGACGGGCCTCTTCGTGTACGGCAGAGCGCCTGTGTGTTAATGCAGTCACCTGTTGAGTTCTGTTCAGCCTTCGTCTTAGCAACACAGCATTCCTCTGCTCGCCCTGACCCACAGTAATATGCTCTGAGTTTGTGTTTGGGTGTTTGCTCGTGTGTGTGTGTGTGTGTGTCTGTGTGTGTGTGTGTGTGTGTGTGTGTGTCTCCTTGTAGTGAAAATAAAAGTGCATGCAAGTTTTTTAGGCTGAAAAATGCATAGAAATAATATTAAAACACATAATTCAATCACAAGCACGTGTGTATGTGAGCTTGTATTCACAGCTGTGTGTGTATACTAGAATCCAATAACAACCCCCATCCCCCATTCCCAAGCCTTGAGGCTCACGGGGAGCCATGAGATCCAAACTTGACGACACATGTATTTATAAATCACAGACACAATAATTACACTCCATTCCTCTCTCATTGGAAAAGACTCCCACAAAAGGCTCTCTGTGTCTGTCAGTTTCAGGTTCACTTAACTATGACAGTTAACTAGGAAGGTCCCATGATGCTGCAGAGAGATGGGTTTTGAAAAGGGTATTTACACACAGTTTGAATGCAAAATCTTACAGGTGGTGCATGCATTAATCACATGGTAAACGCTGAATCCATAGAAATAAAATACAGCCCATCTACCAACGTTGCATTTGCAAAGTTGCTTTGTTGCATTATTGCATTATTGCTTTGAGACACACCCCTGAGTTCCCAAGGTCCGGTGAGGTTGCTGCTGTTAAAGTTCATGTCAGACAACAAGAGACTTGATTTAAATCGACTGCATTTCCCTGGCACCGCACGGATAATCAAATCTATGGGAGGATGCTACTATTTCCCCCACTGAACTCACAGCACCATTTCAGATAACAGAAGGAGCTTTCAGAGAGGCAACTAAACTCTCCAGAGAGGCACACTGGAGAGAGAGAGAGAGGAAGAGAGGGAGAGAACAACTGGCCAGCCTGCCTGTCCTCTCTAGACTAAGTCATTACCATAGACGTCCATGCCAGGCTTGTGACTGAGCTGCCACACTAACACTGAGGAGACCTTGTCTGAGGCAGGCTTCATAAGGACATTCTTTATCAAGGCCAATCTTTATACTCCTCCCGCCCCACCCCACACACAACCCATCTCTCCTGCCCTGACCCCCCTGATGTCTTTTGCCTTTCTCTACACATCCCACAGGAGTGATCTCTGCCATCGTGTAAGCAAAGGAAGGAGAGGATGACGGTGAAGCAGTTTCTCCTGACTCAGGGAAAAAGACAGCGGAGGAGGGGTGCAGCATCAACATCCTGTAGTGGATTTTGGCAAAGATGATCCTGCTGCCCATCCAACAACTACCTCACTTCCCCAACTTACTCATTCAGGGAGGAAGGGGGGCTGCTTTTGCTCTGTATCTGTATGTATGTGTGTGTTGTTAATCACCTCTCCAGCGTAGTGCTTGATGCCAAACTGGTGGTCGTTCACTCTGGGCTTCACGTAGTACGGGTTTGTCTGAGGAGGAAGAACAAAGGGACAACTGACCTTTCGAGATGCTGTTCATTTCTGCTTAGTTAGTAATAATTAAATTAAGTAGATAACATAGAGAGCTTAAAGAGGGTGTTCAGAGGTCAACTCATCTGGGGCTGCAGCTCATTAATGTTGTCGTGATCAAATAACTTGTTTCACTCAATAAACTGATGAATCTAAACAATGTCAGAGAAAAAGTGAATCATATTTGAGAAGCTGATTTTTATTTCCTCTGATAAAAAACAATTCAGTGATTATCAGAATTGTTGTTCATTCATTTTCTGTCAATCAACTATTCAAATAGTCAACTAATGATGTCAGCACTAAACATCCAACCCCTCCAACCATGAACTTAAAACTCAACACATGCTTCAGCAGCGAAGGCAGACACCTCAGGGAGAGGTCAGCCAGTTCTTAGGTCTCGCATTATAGCTCTCTTGTTTTTTCCGTCAGCCATAGAAAACCCTGTTGGGTTTTCTGAGGACAGTCTTTTCTCCTGCACACAATGCTGATCAGGCCCAGAGAATGGCTGATCACATTTCAGCATTGTTGTGTTTGCATGTGAGAGCGGCTCGGGGGGGCGTGTACAAGTGCCGCACAGACGTTCAATGCTGCACCAAAGGCAACAGACGATTCATCAGCCAGGAGGGAGGTTTAACTCTTTCAGGCTGTCTGAGCCGGTGGGTGGTGAAGGCATTTCTACAACTGGGGTTAGGAGCTTTGGTGGAGGGATATGGGTAATTCTTATGCCTTTGTGAGACTCTCTGCCTACAAGGGATAGGGTGTGTATGCACTGCTGCAAGTGTGAAAGACCTATGTAAGTTTTCATGTGTGCGTGTGGACTCACTGCGTGTCGGCTGTGCAGTTTCTCCAAAAGGGTGTAGTCCGTGCCTTTGGGGAACCGACTCTCCTCATTGATAAGAGCCAACATGCCCAGTTTCTAAAGGGGAGACAGACAAGAGGAGCAGAGAGGGTAAAACACACCGCAGTCATGATGGAACTAGTTATAATCCCATTGGGGCACATCTGGTAGCTTTTATTATAACAATGCGTCCAGGAAACACCATAGTAATTCATTCAATTTCCTCTTTTACTTATAAAAAGAAGGTTCACTGAGCAGGCACGATGTTTGGCAGCAACACCTTTCAGCCTCACATTTCTAAAGATACACAGTCATACTAATAAAGCAGGAATCATCTCATAGATGGCCATCAAGCCATATCTCAAGTGTACGGTTAAAATGGTTTTAATGTAGCCTTTTTCCTTTCCCTGAACATTCCGAGTTTGTGATTCTGAGAACTTTTCAGACACATAACGTCGACCTCTGCAGAACTTAGTTCTGACCATCATTATAACTATGGTGATAAAATAACACCGGCAGTCTTAATGCTTCACTTCAACCATACCTCCAACCGCTGGCTGGTGTACATTACTGTGCACACAACATGCAAAATGAGACTATATAATGATAGAGTAGGAGATGGAGGTCAATGTAAGCAAGCATAGTGAGGCGTCTAGGTCGCTCTGGCTGGTGGTTAGTGGTCGATCCTGGTGGTGACTTTGCTCTCTCAGGGTCTGACTGTTACCTTTTCTATGAGATCCAGACACTCTGCGTTATCCATCCAGTCTATTGCCTCCCACTGGATCCCCTCCCTGTGAGGACAAGGACACAGACACACCATGTATATATATAAATATAAACAACAACGGCCGTATTGTCCTGCATGGACATGTGATGAAATGAGCCATGTCCAAACTGCTGGCCCATTATACAAGAAAACAACTGTCTGGGGGAGAAACTGAGCCGATTCCAAACCTCTGGCAGTTTGCCTGTATTGCTAAGAGGAAGCCCAGCCCCCATCTGCATCCCTATCTGTCTGTAGGACAGTCTCCAGCACATGAAAAGTCTTATTTTACTTTCAGTGTATCCACCAGCATACAGGTCTAATCTGTAGAAATGCAATGTCTCTGATATATTAAAGATCTTTACCTGTTGTACTCCAGCTGTTCCAGCGAGAAGATGTGCTTGTTGAAATACTCCTGGAGTTTCTCGTTGGCGTAGTTAATATTAAACTGTTCAAACCGGTTCACCTACAGGGATGGAAGAACATGATATCAAAGTCTACTCCATCTACCTTATGGAAAAGTCCAGATGGGGATTTAAAAAAGGATTTTGATTTTTTTGCTGAATGAAGCTTAAAGTTTGACTTTCACCTCAAAGTTCTCAAAGCCAAAGATGTCCAGGATGCCAATGGACTTGAAGTTGTCTTTTCCTTTGATCTTCTGGTTGATCCTCATTATAATCCAGGAGAAACACTGAGAATAAAGTGCCATGGCAACCGAATCTCGTGAGTCTACAGCCTGCAAAAATCAGGACACAAAGAGATGAGGTTACCATGGATACCAAGTCAGGCATAAATAATAAGAGAGAGGAAACTTTGCAGACTGTAAACTCAACACAACATACAATATATCACCACATATATTTCATCAGTTCTATCAGATGGTGGTTAAAGCTGTTAAAAACAACGACATGTTTGATTGTTTGACTGATGGGGTGTGTGAGGCCTCAGTGGAGTCTCTATAAAACAAATAGTGGTTTGGAGACAAAGGTGTGTTATGTCAGCATCTGTCTGCAGGCAGCAGGTAAGACAACGTCTGTTTTCACAACAGACAGCGTCGTTTATCTCCTGCATATCTTAAGAGTGACGCACTGCAGGCAGTATTTATTGTATTTCAAAAATCCAGGGAAAACAAAGACAAATCAGAGTAATGTATAAACACGCTTTCATAGATGATTGTCTCGAGTTTTTAAACCCTGCACAAGGCAATGACGCCTTCCAGCTTTTATTTATTTAGCTTCTTTTATGATGTCTTATACTTACACTGCTTGTGTACTTTACATTCTTGTACTGGTGCTGTTGAATAAATAAGTATGTATAGTAGTATATTTTATTTACATGCAGGAAATTAAACATTATGAGAGAGAAAAAAAACTAAATCTGCAGATGAAGACCATGTGATATGATCGAAAGCTCCATGTTTCCAAGGTCACGAATGAACTGTCAAACTCATGTTTGAGCCCACATGGATGAGAAGTCCTAGAGATCAATCTACAGAACATCTACAGATCTATGACAACTGAGCAAACTCTGTCTGCTGAGGAAGACCATGTGATACGATCAAAAGCGAGTAAGTGAGCTAGAATTTTTTGTTTGAAACTATCGTCACAAAATCTATTTCTAATCGCCTTTCGACCACAGAGATCTGATTTCTTTAAGTATATTTTTTGGGGGGGGCTTTTTATTGCCTTTATGACAGTGACAGCTGAAGAGAGACAGGAAAGGGGGGCAGAGAAAGGGGATGACACGCAGCAAAGGGCCACAGGTCGGATTCGAACCCTGGGCCGCTGCAGCAAGGACTCAGCCTCAGTACATGGGTCACCAGCTCTACCCACTGAGCTAACCGGGCGCCCGAGATCTGATTTTCTCCAGCTGCTGTGAAGTCGGCCTTTCAGCCAGACACCATCCGTGTACGAATATAAAAAGCTTGTACTTGCCAGCTACACTTCCTCCACAGGCATTGTGCTTGAATTGAAAACAAAACAAGAGTGTGGCGGTGAGTACTGTATTTGGGGCAACAATGCTCCTGGGCTTTTGAGTAATCCATCATGCCCCGTCACCTCTTGCAACTAGCGGGTGTGAACAGAGTGCTGGTGGCTCCAGGATCTCCGTCACAGGGGTGAGAAGAATGGCTGTTTGTCCAGAATGGGGGGTGGGAGGGGGGCTAGCGCAGGCAGTCGTGGGGTGGGTGACCCCTGGCCGCTGTGAGAAGAAGCCATTCTTACTGACTCCAGGACTGGAATAATGAACTCTATTAAGAGACAAGCTGCTTCAAAGGCCAGGCAGAACAAGCAGCAGCAGGGTGACAGCACAGGGTCTTTGTCTGGTGATGAAAAGCTTTCTTGTGACTTTCGTGTCCCTGTGATAATAGTAAAGGTCCATTCTGCATATTCGCTGATATTTATGCATATGAGTGGGCTGAAGGCTGCTTGAGCTCAGCCAAAAAGGATTGTGTCATGCGTCAGAATGTGCTTGTGGCATATGGTGAAAAGGATAACACATGCAGATAAAGACTTGTGAAACATTCACATTAATTACAGACCACTGCATTGACGTTTGAAACCAAGGGAGACACAAGTGAGAATTATTACACCAACAACGTCTTGGTGAGGAGAAGACTCACTTCACCCTCAGTCATTGGCTCTATTGTGCTTTTGACTCAGATCACTATCATGATGGCTTTATTGTGCCAGGAATCTGGCAGACAAAAAGCAGGAAATGGCTGGGAGTCACGCAAGGGATCTGGAGAGGCATGTGGGGGAGAGTGCTAGGAGAAAGGCTGTGTGTGTGTGTGTGTGTGTGTGTGTGTGTGTGTGTCACCAGGACAGGGGAGGGAGAGGGGTGAGGACAGGGGGCAACCAACAGACATGTACTCTATGTTTCAGTTTCTTAAATTCAAGAGAAAAGGGCAATGCAGAACTCTGAAGATGCCCTGAATTCTATTATATAAATAATGGTAAAGGAAATGTTTCAGGATTGTTGTGTGTCGGCTGTGTGAGTCCTGTAAGGAACAGTGGAAGAGGAAATTGAGTTGGATGTGTTGTTACCTGCTCCACAGTGAGTGGTGAGCAGATCTCCTCTCCTCTGAGGATCATGGAGCGTTGGGTCAACACCTCTGACAGCTGGAAAGAGTCTAGGCCCAGCAGCTCGCTGACATTACTGACCACTGGAACACACAAAAAAAATATTAGTTGTAGTATATGTATAAGTAATGCAGAACACAGACGGTTCAGGTGACTCTTATTGATGTCGGACAACAGATGTAACATATAGACTGCGATCCTATACAGTCTATAGGAAACTCTACTCTGTTTGGCGGGGCTATAGTATTCTGCAGTCACTGTAGTTCACTGGTTCTTTGGAAAAGAGGTCAGACACAGCGAACAAAGGAGCCTTGAGCTCATGTTACAGCCTGTTCAGTACTCTGTCTGCTAGTGCAATGTCAATCAAACTCAGGGGCATGAGGAATACTGTACAGTGGTCCAACATCAGCAAGGAACTAATTATCTGCTTTAGAAAAGAGTTTTTCAGCAGAAACAATAGGTTATTTTAACTGCACCCGGCTTTACGCCTAAACCCGAATGCTCCTGTTTTTTCCCCTGAAAACAGCATTAAAGATTGATTAAATATCTTCTCACTATTTGATAAACATCACAAACATGTTGTGCTTGGCATTTTCTTACACACACATTTCTGTCATGTTTTAAAAATCTAAGGAAATAAAATAAAAGTTGTCAGTAATTGATGGTTTCACCAAAGAGCTCATGAGGTTGTTTCATTGTCTGGCTGACAAAAGAGAACTTGTTTGGTAAGCACTGTGCTCTCATGATTAAAAATACTTTGGTTTTCCAAGGAAATGCTTAACTTACGTGACACTTTTCAAAATAATTTCCTAATGCTTTCCTAGAAAATGCCCTATAGATATAATTTGGTATTAATTACAGAGAACACACACATTTCCTTGAGAGAACTGTTCTTATTTCTTATTATTTTTTATTTATTATTCATTTAATATTGGAAATGCCAGCTTTTCTGAATTGTATGTATATCATCTTTTTGGGTGTCCATCTGACCTGCTGTGCACTGACTAAAATACTCTTTGCACAAATTGAGCACTGTCTCCATCTTTCTAGAAAACCTTCGAGGAAATTATGAAGAATTGTTTCAGATAAAGCATTCCTAAAATTTCATATTTTTACATATCTGTGTCCTACACAAGTTTCAACAGCGTGGTACAGACTGAGGGTGTGTATAACACACTCAGGATCAACCAATCTGTTCTATATTATTCTCTTAATTCCTTCTCCTACCCCCTTTGGAAGTGATCTGAGCTCCACCAGCAGTCATGAATTCAATGTTTCCCATCTGGAGGACAGCAGAAAGCAACTTGAACACATCTCTAATCTCCTCCTCAGTGAATTCCATCACTTTCAGGGCCTCCTGCAACACAACACAGACAAAGTTAGACAACATGTCACTACAAGGACACAGGAAACACACTAGACCCATTCAAGATGTAACAGCAGTTAAACCTAATTTTGTTTCCCTTGGAGCAATAAAACACTTGTATGAACAGAATTCAAAATGTGCCTCCAAAGACAACATGACACAATCAAATAACATCTTTCCCCCTGGCTCATGTTTCCTAGAAGTTTCTGTCTGGTAATACACTCATGATAAAGAGTTATGGCACCCCCTAGGGTTAAAACAATCAAATTACACAGATTAATTACTACCGGATTTTCTGGATCTTCTCTTACCATCACACTGTCAAAGAGCTGCTTGTCGTCCAGGCTGTTGTCCTGCACGCAGCCCGACTGGCTCAGGTAGTGATACGACTCAGGACCCTCGGACAGGAGGAACATGTCTGCAACACAGACGAGGAAACTCACACTAAATGAATTCAAACTTGGTGCATTCAACAACACCCAAAATAGACAACTAACTCTTCTGTCATTACATTCTTCTTTTGATGCTTCTGATTCTTAAGCATACAGAGCAAAAGTCATTATATAGACACAGTTATAGCCATTACAGCTGGAGAGATACATATAGAGATATATATTTTCAAAATCAGCAACAACCACATATTGATTAACTACATAATAATTTTAAGCTGCACAAAGTATACTGTTGTGTGAAAACCAACCAAAAAACTTCATTTTCTTAGAGCTGCTGAAGTAGATATTTTTATAATTCGGATATTTTGGACATTAGTCTCTTGCTATCAATAATTAGAGGCCAAGTGAATGATTAAGCGTTCTTTTGAACTCTGTAGAAACAAACCTCTGTGGTCTCTGTCTGCCCCCGCTAGCAGAGCATAGAAGATGTGGTAGTTTCTTTCTCCAGGATTCTGTCGAACCACACGGTTCTTGGAAAGAGAAGATGGTTAGAAGAAAATGTTATTTAATGAATTAGTAGATTCTGTTGATGACTGTGCTGTAACATGTTGATTAAATCAAATAATGAACTTGCAGATCCCATACGTTGCGCTTACCTTTTCCAGCAAATCTGATATTTGAAAGTCAAGGAAAAGAATAAAAACTTACAATGAATGTGTCCTCTGAAACAGACACTATGGACATCTGATTTTTTATGGTATATCAAAGTGAACTGTGGAAGGATACAGTCAATGATGCAGCCTCCTTGAATGTTTCCGTTCTGGGAAAAGTGGAGCTGGATAAACTTCCCAAAGCGACTGGAGTTATTGTTGTACACAGTCTTAGCATTCCCAAAGGCCTCCATGATGGGACTGCAAAAAGAGGAAAAGCAATCAAGCAAACCTCCACTAAGGAAACCTTTTTTTGTTTTTACAGATCCCATGTCTGTCCATCACTGTTTTGATTTAGATGTTCATCCAGATGCAGACTTTGTGCAGCCTTGTAAAGTATGACTAAAAGGAATTTAGTACATCAGAAATATCAGTATTGTTGGTTGCCACAAAGAGCCACAAACAGAATACACACTTTTTGTTAATTCCACAAATTCTATGAGTGTTTGTGACTTATGATGGTCTAAACAAGACTCATTACAACAAACGTTGTAACAACAAACGTTTCCCTGGTGAGCTCATAGTGCACGACATACATGACAAGATTCAACTTGCTACTAAAAACATTATCATTATACATTACATTTTTATGATTCATGAATAAAATTACCTAAACATGTTGACTTATGCAAAACACCATAAATAATAACAAAGAAAACGTGTCTATATCTGTTAAACTTATACACACACAGACTCGGAGTCAGAGGTTGGGGTTCAAACAGTACCTGCTCTGGACGAGGGCCTGCTCCACCCTGGTGGTCCTCTCCGACAGAGGAGTACCTGCTGAGTTTTGACTCATCACTGAGAGAAACTTCAGCAGCAGCTTGGTGCTCTCCGTCTTCCCAGCACCACTCTCCCCACTGAAAACACAAAGACAAAGAGAGATAGCTACATAAATGGATCTGTCAAACCTGTTCAACTTACTTCTAATATGTCCATGAAGCATTTGGTTTGAAAATGCTACATATTCAAACTTTTTTTATTAAATATGGATCCTGGGTTTTAAAGTGAAGCTGTTATTGATACCTGATGAGGATACACTGGCTGTCATGTCTCTTCCACAGACAGCGGTAACACTCATTGGCCACAGCAAAGATATGAGGAGGCAGCTCCCCCATCTGGTGCTTGCTGTACAGATCAACTGCAGTACCGTCATACAAGCCGGCTATCTGCTTGTAGGGATTTACTGCCGCCAGGATAGAACCAATGTTGGTCTGAGGGAAATGACAAAGCAGATGGAAGAATGAGGGAGATAAAAAAAAGAGAGGAAGACACAGATTAACAACAAAAGATGACAGAATACACATGGTACAAAAAAGGACTTGGGATTTTACACTCAAATCTGCAGCTTTTACATCTTGCCAAGCACAGATTTAACTTCTGTATGACATCTACAGAACAATTAGTTAAAACTATAGGTTAAGTAGATTCACCCAGTTTCCAGTCTCCTCGCTCTGACATACTACCTGGAGTCAGTAATACTCCTAAACTACTGCATCTGGCCTAGTTTGCACTGAGGTTGGTAATATTTTAGGATCCATTGCTCCTGCTCGGCTAATGCGCTTTGGGGAAAAGTGCCTCACAAAAGTGTGTTTGTGGGTCATCATTCCACAATGAAATTATTCTGTGATGCCATGTAGACAGTGTGAGCCCTCTGAGATGAGATTAGGAGATAGGATTTCCAAAAACATAGTTACCACGAGTCTGTGGGCAATGATTATTTCAATAAAGCCCGGGTAATGTTTCAGTGCTCTACCGCAAAAATAATCCCGGAAGTGAGACAGGGTCAAACAAACATATCTATAATCTTACAGGAAAATCCAGATCTGAATTTATTTCATTGTATTCCAGGAGTTACCTGTAGTTTGTTAAGTGTTGTTTTTTACTATTTCTGAAATCAAAACCATATCTTGAGTCAGCATTGCTTGCTTCTGTTAAGTTAGTAATGGTGTTTATTTCCTAAATTGCCTCCTGGCATGTCCCAAACTTGCTTTGGAGAGAGCAAATGAAGTAGTAATTTCAGAGTAATAGGAAAAATGTGAGTGTGAGTAAATGTGGATCATGCTCCTAAATAAAAACACAACACATCTTGTCGTACTGCATTTGCCTTGCATCAAACAAGTTACACCAAAAACAGGCATTTCCCGCTAATGTTTTTGAAGGTTTGAGATTTGTTGTGCTTTAAATCTTTCGTCTAGCTGTGCTGCACATCCCAGTTTACCAGAAAAATGAAAAACACACCCCTGAGCAACACAATGGACCCACAGACTCCAGGTACATCATGATTAAGACAGTGCCTTACATAGATGTTGTCTTTCTGGTAGCGCAGAAAGAGGTTGTGCATGATGGCAGCCTCATGCAGCTCTGCCAGTGTGGACATGTCCTCTACTCCATCGATGCTGCTGGGGTGCATCGGGTACACCGTCTCCCTGTTCAGTTCTGCCTTCTGGAGGTAGATCACCTGGAATCACACGCACAAAAAAAGTTTCACAATCCTGTATGTAAGTGCTTAAATTAGATTTTTTTTAATGAATTAAGTGCAAGAATTAATAATTTGAGGGTACAAGTTTCTATCAAGTAATACAGTAACAGTAATTAATGTCGGTAAAAAATGTTTTGGAGGAGCAAGCAGGACCCCAAGCTCTAATCCAGCACCTTTTCAACTGAACTAGACAGCATCCTTTGAAGAGGAAAAGGAGTCATCATGTAGTTATTGTACATATCAGGCAACATTCAATAGAGATGAAGAGGTACTCTGTAATATGTAACAGTAACCATTTGGATTGAAATCTAATGTGCACTTTGTACCAGGGAGCACTGCCATAATTAAAGCACTGCTGTAAGTTCAGTGTACAAACTGCACCCCTGCTACGTACTATTAATAGACTGGTATGGAAGGATGGCAGTCAAATACATTAGAGCTGCAGCAATCAACTATTGTTTTTATTTTATTATCGATTCGATTGTTGATCTGTTGTTTTTGTTCAGCCAAAGAAAGAAACCATAACAATTTCCCAGAACATCTTCAAATATCATATTTTGTCCGACCAACAGTCCAAAACCTCAAAATATTCAGAGATGATGAGATGACAGACCACAGTCTTTGAATATATGACCATATATAATATTTGCAGTGTGATATGGCACTTATGCTCTTCTTCCCTGTTTTATTTCATAAAAGGGTGTCGATCTTTTATGTTGTTAGTGGAGGTAGTCTTTCTTTTAGGTGAGGTGGCCACTTTTCGCTACACGAAACCTTGTAATTACCATACTCTGCTGTCAAGGTGAACTGCACAGTATATACCTTTAAAATTACAGAAGCCAATGCCTCATGCACACATTCAGTATCTCCCATCACATCCGACAAAGACAGCCGACTGCCAGAGGCCTGCTGTACACTTACTACAGCCTCAGGGTTTGAACAGCACTTATGCAGAAGGAGTGCAGGTCGACAAGTTTACACAGATCTGAATCAAACTGCTGGCACGTCAGCCTTTCCCTGTGACCATAGCACATGCATGCATGGATGACAGGTAGATTAAAGTGATGATACAGGAATAACGGAGGTTAAAATGGCAGATTGAATCCATGCCTGCCTGTGCCTGCTGCTGGCATACCTGACAGGTAGAGAGCCCCCTGTCCAACTCATGCCCGGACTTCTCCCCTTGTTTTGTTTGATTCACTTTGTTCAAGAAATCTCTTTTCCTGCAACCGGAATAAGAAGAACTAAAGCGGCAGTAAAGAAGTCTAATGAACCAACAGAGATTCGCTGTCGTCAGTCTCGCAGACTCTGTGGCTTTCAGAAGTCTAATGGAATAGACATGAGCTAAAAGAACAGACAGACTACAACTATGTTGGTCAAGTGATGGGAAGCAGTGTTTGGATCAATACTGATGGACAAGGAGCTGTGGATGTGGTGTCCCAGTGCATTACTGCTGCCTCTTCTGGCATATTCAATTGTGTCCCAGTTGGGAGCAGACATTGGTTTTCACAGAGCTGCTGAGTCAGCACAGAGTTGTTGCTCGGGCTCTAAGGAAGCTGCTGATTGAGTGTAGATGAAGGTTTAATCGAATATTTGAAGGTACAACTACTTAATCTGAGATACAAAACATCTTCAATGAATAAGTACTGTTTTTAAATGGAGCCCTTCATGTAAAATATCATATACTTAAAGCAGTATTCACTGCTTTATTATTTTATTATTTTAAAAAGCTGTATACATAACATATTATTGCCTTACAAAGTTGAAAGGTTGATATAGTAACAAGCTGATTCCTATTGACAATTCTAGCATGTACAAAGCAAAGTTTTCATTCATTTTGAGTTAATATAAGCCTGACATTCACTGTCCTTTCAGCTCTGTTTTTAGCTCTGTTTTTGGGTCTCCATCAACTCCTTAAGGGAATATCTTGCGTCTTAGCTGCTAAGTGCTCCATTAGGCTGAACAGCCAGTGCTAACTTTGTCTGTCTGATGTTTGGTGCTGCAGTGTACAGGCAGTTAATCAGAGCTTTAAGCTAAAGACTAAATAAAGGTTGTTGAAAAGAGCAGTGGGATTACGGTAAAAGAATGAGCAGAAAGATGCAAACACACAAAGGCTGGTGATAATTATCTGTCTTTACACATAGACATTTGATCCATTGTTAACATACAAATATTGATTTGTGCAGCTTAATAGAAGTCAATGGCATTTCGAGAAAGCCGTAAGATCTTCCATTACTGTCTTTATTGTCAGATCAAAGATGCTTTGGTGCCACAACTGTTAAGTATTATGGAAATTCCTCTTCTCATGCAGCAATACAATTATTTGAGAGAGTAAACATATAACAGTCAGCTGTTTAAAGATAAGATATGTGACTGTAGACTTTATGTTAGACTGAATATGTGTCTCATCCTACACATTATAGATATGTAAAGCTCTGAGGGAGATTGCAGTGTTCAGACTGTATTCATAAATCATTGCATTGATATGTACAGGATGTGTGGATTCCATCTTTTTCATCTTCTTACAATACATTAACTAAAGTAAATCTCTATACAAGTGTGGGGGGAAAGCCTTTTAAGTATGTGAGATGATAAACTGACTCTGGTCTCACAGTCATCATGTCCATTTCAGCTCTTTCAGATGACCATTAGAGAATGGGCGTGTGCTGAGACACACAGCACAATAACAATGCAGTCATCAGTGGGTTGCTACATGTTTTTGTGGTATTAGGGTTTGTGAAAGGGTGAAAACCTCGGGGAGGAAAGTAACACGTGCAGTGATGTCATCCTTAGAGCAGAAGCTTGCAGATTTACAGCCAGATGTCCCTAAACATTCAGCTTTAACCCCACCCTCTCCTGTCTGGCAAATTGGCCCTGATTCACCAGGCAGGGCCTGACTGACTAATAAATCAAATGGGCTTTTCACTTGTTTTACATCCTTAATCAGTATTATCATTTTACATTCAATTACATCACTCACTGAGTGTGATTGATGTCACCATCAACACCTGGGCTCTGATGGATTACTGTGTCGTCATACAACATATTGTATTTATTTGATATTGAGTGAGAGTGAAACAAAACAGCACATTATTTGACAAGCAAAAAAAAAAAAATATGGCTGGAATATCAATTCACAGTAGCAAAAGTAGAGAAGAGCCATAGCACAGCAATATCTATCTAAAATTGCCACCATATTGCTAGCGGTCAGAGAGGCTGTAGCAGCTATAGAGAGATAAATCTAGATAATAGGTCGGCCGATTAATCGAGCCGATTATCTAGCATTTGGAGTTATATATATATATTGGCTGATGAGTGCGTTCACAAAACGATAAACAAAAATGTCAGACAGGCTTGTCAGTGTGGCTGATGTGGAATGATGTTCTCCCTTTTCTGAGTTTTGGAAAGGTGATGAAAAAGTTAGTTTCCAGCCCCGTTCTCAAACTCCCATGCATCCTGCTTTAAGCGTTTGCCTACATTTTCTCAGTCACCATCGTCTTATGTTAACACATAAGCATTATATATATATTATGTTGAATGACGTTGCTTCTCACATACTGTACCCCGCTCTCCCCTAAATACCTGAAATCTATAGAATAACCCCATGTGTTTCATTAATTAATACTACAACATTACTGGCTTAGATAACCATGTATATCAGATCTGAATGCATATGGAATAATGGAAATATACATTACTCTTGTTTGTTTGATATCGGCATTATATATTGGCCATCGGTCGCCCCTCTCTCTAAACAGTAGCGGCAAAACCTCTGAGTGTCCTCAACTGAGTAAGTGTGGGTTTTATTGCATATGAACATTTCATTTTTAAGAGGAACAATGTGTTAATAAATGATAAAGTGTCACTTTAAAGATAAACCAAAAGCAGTTGAGAGCAGATGTTTTCCTTTGTTGCTGGATATGGTATTGCATTTGATAAAACCCTGTAAATCATATTTTATAAATATTTAAATAACATGTTAAAAGCTTTTTTTTTTAACAATCTATGCTTTCCTTTGATTAACAATAATGTGCTGTAAAATGGAAAATATTATGATATTCCAGGTCTGAGCTCACTTTCTGATGGAGAGACATTATGTCTAACACTCAATCAAACAAACCAAAGAAATTCTGCCTGTGTTAGCAATTTTTTACATTCCCAAGTTTACAGTTGCATTGAGGTGGCTGGGAGCGAAGATAATACAGGATAACAAACAACTGGGAGAGACTACAGGTCCATGTTACACTCTCGAGTCCAGTGAGGACCTTAAGTTTCACAGGAGGAAAACAAATATGGCTGCTTTAGCCCAACACACAATGAGACCTCACTGCTCCAGAAAAATATATAACGCAAGAGAAAGGGGAATTTGCTCACATTTTTACGTGTGTGTATGTATATGTGTGTGTGTGTGTGTGTGTGTGTGTGTGTGTGTGTGTGTGTGTGTGTGTGTGTGTGTGTGTGTGTGTGTGTGTGTGTGGTGGGTGCAGATACTCTACAGTCTGTCTTTACATTATATGACGGGACCTTTGTTCTGGTTCCTCTTCGGATAATTCAGTGTTCAGATTTCACAGAGCTAGCCCCGGGTTCTTTCTCATACCTGAGACATGAGAGATGCTCAGAGGAAAACTGAGCTGAGAGTTTCCAGCTTCAAAAGATGTTTGCCCCACTGTGGGCTTTTATTGTCTGGTTTCATTCCTGTGAGAAAAGTCACTGATGTCTGTCCTCACAACCACAGCGCTTCTCATCAATATTTATCCTTGTCTTCATAAATTAGTTCCAAATAATTTATTGACTAATCAAACATCCTGTAGACGTGGCTAAAAGGAAGATGGAACATGAGAGCTGATAAGGTCTTGACACAGACTAATACTCTTTCCATTTCAGTGCTTAGGAGGTGCAATAATGTTGCGTAGTGTCCATTATAACAATTACACTGGAACATTTTTCCTACAGGAGCTGTAGAGCATCAAAACCCCCCAGACGGCGTGCTAACAAAAGCCTGACTAACCCAACAGTGATGTAACTGTGTGTATCTACTGATATTGATTTCCAGCTTCCAAAAAAAAACTATAAAATCCCAGTTTAGATTTGCTCTGAATTCATAATCAAAGCCCACAAAACAAATCAAATGTATTTTTAGCACAAACTGGCTCTAATTTAAGCGATTGTTTCATGATTTTAGTCAGGCAATTATTGCAATCCCTGTTTCGCGTGGGGACGCAGCAGCATCATCAATGTTAATGATTTAAGTGGGCTGAGGATAATTTCATGCCGCTAATAACAACATGTGACTCGTGATTGATTAGTGAAAATGTTCACTGTACAAATCAATCCTCTCCAAATGGAGCCTGGTGTTGACACCAGCACACAATGTACTCAATGTTGATTGAAACTTTTGTTGATTTAAATTCTTAACTTTCTTTGAGTCTTGGAGCTATTTACAGCTAACAGCTGCCAGGATATCCTCCTTCCTTCCTTCTTTAATAAAACATTTACAAAAACCAAACATCACAATAAAATATACGGTGAAATAAAATCTTTCCAGCACAATTAGTATTATAGTAGATCAGAAACAGTTTTTTACAATGATTAATCGATTAGAAAATAATCAGAAACGATTTAGATAATTGTATTTTTTTATTTGTCTTATTTGTCTTATGTGATACACATTTTGGTTTTGGACAAAAACAAACAATTTGTTGATCATGAGAGGCATTTTTTAAAAGTCTTCCTTACATTTCATAGAAACAACTGATCGATTAATTGAGAAAATAATCAGCAGATTAACTGACAATGAAAACAAACATGAGTTGCATCCAGTAAGTCGTGATAAATTATGAAATCATGAAATACTTTAACAGAGAATTTGCCTGCTTGTAATTTAAAATGCATCAAACAGACAAATATATATATTTATATAGTCAGACTATAGCAGCCCTCTGAATTTTAAACTTTCTTGCAGCTGTGACGCTCTTTTCCTTTTGTTTCCTCCTCGCTGAAACCACACCCTGCTGCTGCTTTGTTCAACCAGCTCTACTGAATATTCACATTAAGGCGGCGTCAGGCTTCGTGGCTCAGTGGACTTTCACTGGCAGATATATTCAAGCCTTCAGAAAATGACACAGGGGCAGATACAAAATCACAGGCTTGTGGATACAAACACAGTTATGTTTATCACTGTCTGTTTTCTGCCTCCCTTCCTTTTTTTTTTTTTTTTACCCTGTCTGACTCTCTCTCTGTCTTACAGTGAATCCATCTGCTGAAGGGGGATCCCACCCAGACCCGGGGGACATGGGGGGGGTGTCAGAGGGAGATAGGCTTATTAATGAGGAAAAATAACACAGAAAATTGCTGAATCTTCATATTGATATTCCCTAACATGGTATAAAGGAAACCTAAATCCTGAAAATATTTGTTTACCACACACGCAGCTGCTCACAATAATGTTTGTGTTATTTCTGTGAGCACACTCGTGAATCCACATCACTCACATAAAGGCTCCATTGACTAATAATCCAGAAAAGACTGGCCTATTTTAAACCTCACAGACTGTATGGCTACAGGCCATGGACAACTTCAGAAATCACACTTTGTTTGAGTTGAATCTCTTTCACTCAGTCTAAAGAGAAATTGTTGAAAATAAAGCATCTGCCCAAAGAGTAAACAAAGGGCTTTGTGTATCAGGTATTTCTTTATTTGTGCACAAGATGAAAAAGAAAATGTCTTTTTAAGGGCGGTAAGACCAGTCAGCTCTAAAACCAAATCAGAAGAAGGTAGGTAGGTCTAGTTTACCTCATTAATTCATTGACTAATTGTTTGGAAAATAGTAAACAATCCCCAATCTTACATCATCAAATTGTTTGTTTTCTCTGACAGTCAGACACCCAAAGATTTTCAGTTTATTATCACATGAAATAAAGAAAAAAAACCCAAATTATCACAATTTAAAAACTCTAATTAGGAAATCTTCTTTAAAAAATAACTAACAATGAATCGATTATCAGTAAATCCTGATTAAGGTGAGGATGACATCACCAGAAGCAGCTATTTAGTTCAGGTGACAGAGCCTCTTCCTGCTTTTCTTTACATGCGCGCCCCTCTGGGGATAACTCACACACTGTTAATCCAGCTGGTGCCATCTGGCCACAGAGAACATACACAACCCCCCCCCCCACACACACACACACACACACACACACACACACACACACACACACACACACACACACACACACACACACACACACACACACACAAATGGATGGATGCACTGCAACACACACAAACCTCCAAGACATTTAGCTCTCAGATTCAGTGTATCTGCTGTATATCTTACTGGCCCACTCAGATCTGTGGTGCACCGGGGACAAGACAGTGATGAATGCTGATATGATGGTTAATGTGACAGCAGCCAGGTCCGCCTGTTAAAGCCGGGGAAGGGTGGGTAAAGACACTCTCTTGAGTCTGTAAGCTGGGAACTCAGGCAGGGAGCTACACTTTAGTGTGAGCAATGAAGCAATGGCTAATGGTATATCCCACTAACCCCCCTTGGGGAGGAAAATGCTGCCAGAACACATTTACCAAACCGACTCTGACACTGCACATGCGTGTAAAAACATCAGGACACATACAGGCAGACAGATAACACAAACATAATAGCCTTAACATACTAGCAGAGCTGGGTTAAATAAAGATTACCACTGAATCAGGAAATGCTAATAAACCTCAGCAGATATGTCATCCAGGACCAGAGGATCACATAAGGTCAACCGGTGATCCTGAAGGTGGAGTCTGTTTTTCAGTCACACATTCCTGTCATTCTGGCTGCAGAGTCTCAGGACACACAGAAGACATCCATGTGTCTGGCCTGGTGACCAACACATCTTGAGCTTGCATTTGTAGATCATATGAGACCAGCTTCAGTTCAGCTGCAGCACCATGATCCTACTGCCGGTTCACCCCCCAAAAAACTGTGACGCAACGTTAATGTTATTTTTTTAAATCCCACGGACGGTGGTGAAATGTTTTTGGACTGAGAACAACACCCTCTGGTCATATTAAGTGGGGGTCTGATTCATTTTTCAACCTCCGACTTGGTGTGGTGGATCCTTCCTTGCAGTGATAGATGATGTTTCCATCTCTGCCCCTCTGACACATGGTTGACTTCTCACACTACAAGAATCCCAACCACTGACCATGGAAACATTACAAAAATATGCTCCGTTTGAGGGCACATGGATGAGTTCAGAAGTTCCCTCTTACACATATTTTATAATACACATATTTTATAACTCTTTACGTTCTTGTTTTATATATATATACTCCAGTGTAGAATAAGACTCACCGCATCTAAGGCTAAATGCCCTTAATTTCCACAAAAGAAAAAAAAAAGATGCTGCACCTCAACAGCTTGGCGACCTCTGCTTCATACGTCACCCTTCTTTTATATGAACAGTCAAGGACTCCAGAGAAGAAATAACACAGGGCCTTGGCTTACGGTTGTATGTTAAGATCCTTTCAATCCTTTGGCCCTACCCTGTTCCTTCCCCAGGCCCTGACCTTACCAAATGGAGCTAATTGACTATCACACACACTGCTCACAGGGTTTGTTCGGTACAAAGGCATTCCACAAGATAAATATGGTAACTGGAAGCTCATTTTTGATCTACACTCTCTGACCCGCAGACATATGAAACTATTTTTTAACCATCCATCGCCACCTCCCTCTCTCTCTCTCTCTCTCTCTCTCCCTATCTCTCTGCTTCTCTGTCTCGAACAGGATTTCCTCCAGACACAAAGACCTCCATGCACTGCCAAACAGATAAGCTCAGGCCAATGACTTGACACAAGGACCCCATTCCTGTCATTCTTACTTTATTACAAAAGGTGTTGATCCTACCGCTGAGCCCCGACATGAAACACATGTGCAAACAATTAACCTTCTCACATACACACTGGGCCAGCCTGGTACAGTCCTTATACTAATGAAAAAATGCTTCATGGTGCAGAAACACTGGGCAGATGAGAGTTTGGGATGGTTAAAAGTGAATCATTGGCAGCAATAATGCTTCATCGGGGGAAAAAAACACATCTTTTTACCTTGTCATAGTCGGTGGTGAGGACCAGGGACGAATCATCACAAGAGCTGACGGTGGAGGGGAGGAGCTGTTCTTTGTGTCTCAGCCAGACACGGGCCCCCTGCAACACAATAGCCACAACAACACCATTAGCATCTGGACACAGGCTTCATATATCGTCATATGTTAGGAACGTAGCTCATGTGCTTGTCGCTTATGTAGACCATTTTTGGAAAGTACAACCCAGCAGAGGTGGCAGAAGTACACACATTCTTTACTCAAGCAGAGGTACAGATATTCAAAATCTGAAATGTACTCAAAGTATAAAATTAAAAACTACTCTCTTGGTTTGTCTAAGGGACATTTCTATCGTCTGTTTCTGTGCAAAGCTGAAACTCTAAACAGGGTGGAGTCTCCCTCACTGACTTTCTGTTTGGACATTTCATGTAGTTTTCACCTTGTCATATCTGTCATACATAATATGCACTGGTCTTGATGTTTTTTTTGCCTGTTTTGACAATATAAGGAGTATAAAGTATAGATATTTGTGTAAAAAGGTAGAGGGTGAAAGTAAAAGGTTGTCAGAAAAAGAAATACTCAGGTAAAGACGCCTGAAACAAATACTTAGGTACAGTAACAAATTATTTGTACTTTGTTACTTCTCTGCAGCCCAGAAATACTTTAAAGAAATATCCCTTGTCATTTGGGTGTAACGTAAATGTGCCAGGTGAGTAATCGCTACCCAGTTAGAAGAGACAGCTGAGATTCTTCTAGAAAAGCAAGGACTCTGGTTTTCTTCCTTCAGTCTTTTTTCATTTTTTTCTCATTTCTGAGCATTGCTCACCACTCTTTGCCACATAGCTACTCCCTCACCACACACAACTGGCACAGTTATCCTCTTATTAAACTATCATTGAATTTTAGTAGAGCAAAGTTGTTTGCCAGGCCTGCATGCAGAGGGTGTGTCAGAGACTAAAACTACCACTCAAGAGTCATACACACACTGTAAAACTGTCAAACCGGCTTTCAGTCTTTAGTTGTGAGGGCTACTTTACTCCATAAAATAGAAGTATATGACCCCAAATGAGCATTTGTCACTTGAGCAAATCAACCATCCTTATTTTCTAGATTTCAATCAGGCAAACCACAACACACTTCTCGCCACAGTCCGAGAATAGATCCTGGTTCCAGGCAGAGCCAGCACTACAGCACTACAGCTGATCCGGGCGGCCTGGTCTCCTGTGTTTGTGTATCAATGTGAAGTCACTGACCTTCCCAGACATGTTTGTTAGCAGCTCAGTAACCAGGAGCAATAACAGGAATCTGAGGCTGATTGCTCAGACTGACTGTCATTTCCTTACAGAAGTGGAAGATACATTAATAGAACCGGCTGCGTTTTAATGACTGTAATGAACTAGTAGTGAACTAATGCCTGTCCTGTCTTAAACTGTAAATATTTGAGGATGATGAAATCCACATTTGTACAAAAACAACAAACGTGGCCTTTGGTTAAACAATATAATTATAATTGTGAACCTATGACATTTTACATTTTGGAAATACACTTCTTCGCTTTCTTTAGGGGTAGATGAAAGGACTGTGAAGGAATAAAAACAGGGCCTTAAATATAAGGCTACAGCCAGTAGATGATTAGCTTTGCTTAGCATAAAGACAGGAGGAAAACGCCTAGCCTGGCTAACTTTGACGGTAACAAAACAGACCTACAAACTACCAGCACCTCTAAAGTTCTCCAGTTAACACACTATGTCTGGTTTGTTAAAACTGCACAAAGAAAGAGTAAAAATGAGATATGGATTATGAGAGTGATCTTCTCACTTACCTTTTAGCACTTTTTCTCAAAATGTCCAACTTTTCCATTAAGAAGCCCGTTTGTATTTCTTGTGTCTATGGTCTGAGCTATAAGTATTGTAAAGGAAACTGAATGTTTTTAGATTTCAGATTTATAGGCTGTGCACTTTGTCATCTGCCCTGAAAGTCACCCTCTTCTTGTAAACCTGTCTTTGACCAGCAAAACAACATTAGTCATCACAAGTGCCACCATGGAGGTGGTCAGGGAAAAGAGAGCAAAAGGGAATTGTGTGTCCAACAGAGCATAAAACTGAAGGGATCAATATGCATGGATTCCACTAGGAAACCTTATACAAGGTCACCACTTCCAGACATCAATCCTCATTAACTATTAACAACAGGCTGCCACGTGTGCACACACACACACTCTCATCCACGGAGCACAAATGTGTTTGCCACCAGGGTCAGAACAAAGATCGAGATGCTTTTGTTTAATACACAATATATTTACATGAAATCTCCTTGTTACAATGCTGAATCTGAGAGGAAAGTAGGTCAATAAAGAATTACTCTGAGCCCATTAAATTAACTTGCTCAACAGCTCAGAGTGATGATTGGTCTCTATTCTTTTCTTTAATTTGTGATTCAGGCTTCATTTTTGGACAAAGGGTCGCTCAGTTCAACCAGCCAGTCTGCGAACCCACTTCCATCATCAAGGATTTTTCCTTTCAGTCGGCTAATGGAGGGCAGCTAAATGTGGCTCTCTCAAACCACGGGGGACAGCGGTGAGTGGCATAAAGGGGGTCGTGTAAATTAGGAGGAGGCTGAGGTTGGGGGAGCGGGAGGGGAAAGAGGAAGGGTGCAGGCACCTGATAATGTCCCGCCTCCTATTGTCTGGAAAAAGAGGCAGACAAACAGAAACATCAGGACAAAAATCTAACAGAGGTTAGACTTCTGAACACATGGCCATATATAACCCCAGTTTCTATTCAGTTTGAGACGATTGGGGACTTCCATACCAGTGACCGACTGTGTCTGCCTGGTACCAGCATGGCATGCATGGCCTATTCAGCGGAAAAGCTGCTTCACGTGAGTGCACTAAGGTCCAGTGAGGAGATTAATGGTGTTTACTCTATAGATTTTAAGAAGATCAGATTCGGTTATGTAACTGGAAATCACAGGGGCTTGAATTCATCAGAATATTGCTGGTACATGCTGTCTTGGCTGTTTGTACTCATAATTGCAACAGTGGAGCTGAAAAAGTAAAGAAATATGCAGGGAGTAGGTTGTGACAAAAGGCAGATTACATGAGATGTTACACAGAACAAAACAGCAGGCAGGCTGTAACATGAAAGCAGTGGGATGGCTCATAATACTGTGCGTTTATACACCACATCCCGGTATTGCTTCAATTTCAGTGACGCAAATATCAATTTTCCAAGAACTAGCCTTAAATGGTTCAGTTGCTGAGTCAGAGTCTCAGAGGTTTTCCATTCAACATGAACAAGGACTTTCCCAAAGAGAAGCTCGGTAACAATGTGCTCATTGCACACAGTTCTAGTTCTTAAACAGGAATTAAGAGACCCAACAATCAGCATAATAACTGGTTAATTAAATTAGTTGGCACACTATAAACCAAACCAAAAGTCAGCAACAAGCTGGCCCATAAAGATGCTAATTCTGGATTGGCTTACTGCACCAGCGTCTGTGCAGAGTGACTTGACTCTCTGGAGAAGTGCCCACCAGGCACTATAATCAAAATTGGGCAGAAACAGCCAAAAAAGAAAAAGCTGTACGAGTCTTATTTTGTGCATGTATCAGATTCTACTAATCATTTATCATTTGTCATTTCAGTTTTTATTCATTTTAACATTGTACTATATCCAAAAATAAAGACTTAAAAATAACTTAAAAAGGGAGAAAATCAAACAAAAAAGACTGTAGACAATACTACACACAAAAAATAACATCAATAAATCTGAAAGGCAGCCAGTTAAGAAGAACTGCAGCATCCCAATATTCTCTAATATCCCTTACCCTCCCAAAGACGTTTCAGGCTGAACTGTATTCAAATGGCTTGCAATCTGCAACCTCACCGCTAGATGCCACTGAATCCCTTTTAGCTCACATTTATACGATTTTAACTCTTTAAAAAGTTCACCGCTGCCACAAGTCATCACAGAATGAGGAGACATTGATCGATTGTCAAAGTAAAGTTCACCTGAAATGTCAGGAGTCAGCAATAAAGCCCATTAGCTGTGAGGGAACGATCTTACAATCCTGAAAATATTTTGACATTTACCTCTGCCTTTTAAAATAAACACAGGGATTTGTCTGGATGACTAATCAGCCAATAAAATTGAAGTTTGTAGAAGTGGTGGGGTTGTCCATTGACTCGACAGCTCCAGAAAGCTGTTTGCGTGTGTGTTTGAAGCTGAAGGGTATAAAGTAGAGATAAATTGTCTCAGCAACAGATGGTCTCACCAAAACTCCTCCCCCTTGTCCCCTCCATCCTCAGGAGCTCCATCACTAAGTCAGGACAAAGGCAACTACCTCTGACTGAGAGCTCAGAAGTTAACCAGGCGGAAATATCCCAAACAAAGGCCAGCTGGGACGCAAAGGGACATGGGTATCAGCTCGTGTCAAGTCTTCCAAACTTGAATCAGTTGCTGCAGCACAACTAACCACTGACCACTGACTAAACCAGTGAAACAGCGTGTGTACATCTTGCATAAGAGTGATTGAAAGGTGTTCATTTTACAGCTTTCACTGTGTTTAATTATCAGCACTCCAATGCCTCAGGTAACCAGAGGTTTTAATAGCTCCATAAAAAAAAAAAGCTGAACGGCTGCCATGACATTTCCAGCTCAAGCTAATTTCAAATTCTTAATGCCGCATGTCACTGAGCACGTGTAGCACTGCTGAGGCAGAACCAGCTGACAATAGTAATCCGATCCACCAAAACAGGCCGCACGCTGACGTCCCATCATGCTTTCTGACACAGAAACCACTCGGGCTGAATGATGTGATCCCGGAGTTGGAGGCTTGAGTTTCTGCAGCTTGTATAATGACATCCAACTCAGAGATTTGGTAATGAATGAGCCTTAAATATTTAAGGAGAATACACAGTACAAGGTGCCACGGCTCTTTCTCTGCTGTCTGGCGTAGCATGAGCGCAGGCAGTATCGGGTGATCGCATCAGCCAGAACAAAAGAAAGCTAATTAACTCATCCTGACTTGGACAGGGTTGAACAGTTAGTTATGATAAGCCAATTTCTCGGCTCATAGTGCGGTTTCAAGGAGCGGTGAGTG